GTCACCAATAACGACAATTTTTAAGGCGGAGTTTGTTTCTTTTAGCCTTTGCCTAAAAAGGTATACTCTACAAGGGCATATACTATTATATACTCTACATAATACATATAAGTATACTCTACATACATATAAGTATACTCTACAGCGCATAAGCCAAGTAGTACTTGGTTGCATAATACCTGCAGCAGGGTGATCAAGATGATCTTGAACCTGATCTGACCTGGAGTAATTAAAAGGAGCTATGCATTAGGAAAAATATTACATCTAACAAAATACTAGAGATTAAGGTGAGCCTAGATTTTATAGTTGGTATGTCTAGTTATTTAATGAGCTCACTCTGCATAAAAACAGATTTAAACATTTAAACAGAGCATTTAAACATTTTAACAGAACAAATATATGCATAAAGTATGTATTTGTTCACCAACATACTGAACAACTGGTAACATATTACATGTTACCAGTAGCAGGGTGATCATGAAGACCATACACCAGATCTTGTTTTAAATAAAAAATGTTTAACGTATTAGTCTTATGTGAATTTGACTTTATAAAATTTTCTTAATTTTTTTATTTTTTAAAGAAATTAACTTTTTTTTAATTACTGCAATAATATTAATTACCATAAAATGAGTAAAATGTTATTTAACACATTTTTTGTTATTATGAATGTTCAATTTTTTTATATTAAATAATTAAATTAAGTATTGCATTTTTGCATGCGGTAGTGGTGTAGTGGTAAGAGCGCTCGCTTTGTAAGCGAGAGGTTTGGAGTTCAACTCCCACCACGTCCCTGGAAGTACCGCGCTCAACTTAATTTCTCCGTGCAGCGGAGAAATCAAGTTGAGTCTTGCTTGTCAAGGTTCGTGTTTCGGAGTTAAAGAGTTAAGAGAGGGTTGTACCACGATTTACAAAAAAAAAAAAAAAAAAAAATAAATAAATAAAAAAATGAGTAGCCTCCTCAACTGTAGTGGCCCCTTCGGGCCTTGGGGAGTAAATAATTTGAAAAAAAAAAAAAAAAATTTATTTCTTTTCTTGACATTTATAACTGTTAAATTTTAAAAAAATGATCATTTCTCAAATTTCTTATTGCGGCTTTGCAATTAAAAATGATTTTTTATTTTAAAAAAATTAGCAAGTAACAAATAAAAAATTTATATTAGTTTATTTACTTTATTTATTAAAAATTTATTTTTTTGATAACGATTTTTTGTAAAAGCAAAGATTATTTTTCCAAACACCATTTATTAAAATTGTATTGCTGTATATATCAGTTAAAACCAAGCACTAACTTTAATTTTAACAAAATTAAATATATTTTTTTTAATTAGAATTTAATTATATAATTTTTCAATCAAAATTCAATTATATTTTTTTTATCAGAATAAAATTATATATTTTTAAATTTTTTTTTTATTTTTAATTTTTTTTCTTATTATTAAATAGAAATTTAAGTAAATTTTTTTTTATTGCAATCAAAATTTGTATAAATATTTTTGTGCTCGCGAGATGATGAATAGAAATTTTTATTATATATATTTGGTTTATTGCGTTTTTTTTACGTTTTGTTTAAAAACTTCGTATACAAAAAAAAAATTGTTAACTATAAACAATTTTGTTTTCTGTTACTAAATAAATAAATTTAAAGATAAAATAATTTTTTTTTGTGTGTGTGTATTTTTAGCAATTTTATTCAAATTATACTAATTTTGGGGTGAGAAAAATGAAAATGACAATGAAATTTTTTTATTAGCTCTAGTTTCTGAGATATACAATACCCACAACGTTGTTGGGTAAGGAGGGGGGAGAGATGGAAGAAATTGAGTGGAGGAAATGAATCTTGAGGGACATGTTACATCCAAGTTGACAGTCTTCTCTGTTTAGCCAGCGTTTTCGCGCTCAAGTCTTTTTGCGCTCGCCCACATGTCTGCAAATACTAAGGCGAGCGCATAAAAAGCGCTAGCCAAAAAAAAGTAAAACCGTTTTATTTTAAATTACAACAAAACTTTTTTGTTCATTTGTTCAACTTTTATGAAAAAACTTTTACCAGATTTTTAAAAATTATTTTAACTAGTATTTATTCAAAGCATTATTTTCGTTATTTTTATTTTAATTTAAATAGCAGGAAAAAAATAATTTTTCAAATTGCTCAGGCTAACTTAATAATGATCATCCTGCTAGCGCTTTTTTGTGCGCTGACATTTAATTACAAATGGAGAAGACTGAGTTGATGGAATTTTTGCAAAAGTACTGTTACCAATTGAATGTAGTTATCATCTCTTGTGTTGCCTAAAAATCCTAAAATCACTCCCTTAAGAGCTTCCCAAATTTCCTTTTTTTCCCATCAAAACTTTGTCAAATGCAGGATCCTTCATAAGTTGACATATTTGTAATCCAACAAAAATAACCTCCTTAACTTTTGCATCACTTATCTTTGGAAATTTATTTCTAAAATACTTAAAAGCCTGTTCTTTTTTTGTTCATACCTTTGACAAACATTTTAATCAAACCTAACTTAATATATAATGGTGGAAGAAGATATCTTTTGAATCTACGAATGGGTCAGTAATAACATTTTTTTCATCTTTTTCATGTTAAAATTTCTGTCTCTACTCTCCCAGATACAAAAAAAAAAACAGCAGTATTTAGTATACCCTAATTGCATTTCTAAATGTATAGCAATGACTTTTAGATAACCACAAATTTTCTATTTGTGTTCATTATAAATAATTGAGTTGAGGAGAACTTTCATGTTTATATAAGTCTATTTCATGTGAACTGCATGGCCAATAGGAATAGAAGGAAGACAGTCTCCATTATGCAGTAATACAGCTTTCAAGTTTAGCTTAGATTAGTTTATGAATAATCTCCATTTAGTTGGATCATAGTTCAAATGAGGACAATACATTAATCCAAAGACATCAATGCCAACAACAGGATTTTTTTTCTTCTCGAAAAAAAAAGCAGATTTTGCTATGGTTTTCTGTGAAACCTTGACATCAAATTGAAGGGGATTCTATTGCTTTAGTCTTGACCCTAGAAGTTCTATCTTTTCCTTTGACAAGTCCAGATCTCGAACAAGGTCACTTAATTCTGCTTGACTCAATCTGTATGGCACATCATCTGTTAACACAAAATCAGAATTATTTGATGTAGAATATTTGTTTTCTTTTTCTTTTTCATTTTCTGCCTCTAAGTTACAACTTTGTGGTGGAGTAGGAAATATAACTCTATTACTGGTAAACTATTCGAATGTGGAATATGTTGAATGGCAGATGGAAGATTTGGATATTTAACTGTTCCTATTTTCTTCATTGACAAACCTGCCTTAATGGGTCGGTCAAGCGGAAATAGCAGTCCTTTGTATGGTTTTTAGATTCCCTCAATACCATAGGAACAGCAAAAGCCAAAGATCTTATTTTATTTTTCAACTATTCTCGTAGTGTAACCGAACAAGAGCATATATGTGGGGCCCATGACTTATCCTGGTCCCCTACCTATATATTGAAGTAATACAGGTAAGCAGTCTTCACAAGAGGTGTCATAGTTTTTTTCTGTGAGGAAAATGTTATTTCACCACAAATGTAACAAAAATTGTCCACTAAATTTACACACTTCATTGACATGTTGATTTGTCAATTATTACAATAGTAAATGAAAAAAAAATACTAAGAATAGATTAGACCAGAAACTTTGGCAAACGCACTTAACTAATATCACAAGTTTTAAACATAAATAAAACATGGGTAGTCAAAAATAATTTTTTTTTTTTTTTTCAAAAAATGAAAATTTATATACTTAAGAGAAAGTTTTTGCTTTTATTTTTTAAACTAAAGCTAATATGTCATTTTTAATGTCATTTTTGAATTCAGCAGGCGAAAATACATAACAAATAACTAATTTTGGTTCCAATACAAAATCACTGTTGGGCAGTGTTATTCATATTTTTTTAATTTTATTTAAGTTTCTTTTCATTTGTAAGTAGCACTTATATCTAACTTAATTGTCATTCAAACTTTTGTAGCAAACTTTTTTACATAATTGTCATTCAAAAGTTGTTTTTTATAAAACTAACTACTTCTTTTATCTTACTGCATAATTTAAAAGTTAAAAAATGATAAAAAGTCTGCTTAATGGAAATTGCTCTAGGCGTATGTAAGCAGCTTAATGCTTTAAAACAGGGCCTGATACACCTGACCTGACAACATTTCTTGAGGGTTATGGTTGTGGCAGTGATAAGTTTTTTTGATTGTTCTTTGTTTTTTTCTTTTTTAACATATTTTAGAAAAACAAATAAAAAAAATTCAGAATTCCAGTAAAAAGTTACATTTTAATATCAAGGTTCCAATTCCACTAGAGATATTGTTACTTCTCGAGTTATTTTCTCCCATGCTTTAACAATGGCTACTTTTAGATCATTTTGTCTTTTGTAGGCTTGATCTCCAATTTTCTGGTCTAGAGTGTACCACAAATGCTCATTGGGATTAAGGTCAGCCGACTGGACAGGCATCATATTAATATCATTATTTCAAAAATATTCTTTTGTTGCAATGGCAGTATGTTTTGGTTATTGTTCTGTTAAAATACAAAATTGTTTTAGAATCAAATTTGGTAACAGAAGGCTTCAAATTTTGCCTTAAAATGTCTATTTCAAATTGGCTTTCATAGTTGATTCAATGAATATCAATTTGCCTGTTCCTCACATACCCTGTGATCCCCACACCATAGCATTTTCACCACCATGTTTTACTGTTTCTCTCATGCTACTCATATGTCTAGCCTATATCTGACAGACCTTTTATTGATCATCCAATTAGATCAGGTTAAATTTAGGTTCACCACCCCAAATTTGATTTGGAGTGGTGAATTAAGAAAATACAAGTAAAAGAACAAGTTTAAACAATGAAACTTTGCTTGTGCCATTTATATATTTATATACATTTTCCTACATTTTGTATTGTTATTGACTATATTACCTGTAACTTTTTTCTTTGAATTAGATTCCTCCAGATTTTGTTAGATTGTCAACTTGGGAATTAGGAACGCAAGGAGCTCAGGTATATTTTTTTAAATGTTTTTAAAACCTGTTTTTAAAACTAATTATGTTGACTATTAAGCTTAGTTTATCATGCCAGATCAGTTTTTCGTGACTCATCAGTTTTTCATGACTCATTAGTTTTTTATGACTCATCAGATATGCTCAAATAAATACTAAAAATTAAATTTCAGGAAGTCATAAGTGTCTTAACTAGAGTATTATTTAAAATATATGTGAAATTTCACACATTGATGCCTCATCAGTTTTTCATGACTCATCAGTTTTTCATGACTCATCAGTTTTTTATGACTCATCAGTTTTTTATGACTCATCAGTTTTTTATGACTCATCAGTTTTTCATGACTTGTCAGTTTTTCATGACTCATCAGTTTTTTATGACTCATCAGTTTTTCATGACTTGTCAGTTTTTCATGACTCATCAGTTTTTTATGACTCATCAGTTTTTTATGACTCATCAGTTTTTTATGACTCATCAGTTTTTCATGACTCATCAGTTTTTTATGACTCATCAGTTTTTCATGACTCATCAGACATGCTCAAATAAATACTGAAAATTAAATTTCAGGAAGTCATAAGTGTCTTAACTAGAGTATTATTTAACATATATGTGAAATTTCACACATTGGTGGAATATGTTGACACTATCATAAAAAAAGTTCTTTAGAATCGACCATATGTGCATATCTTAATAGTACATCACCGTTCCTTATGCGCAGAATGGCATGAAAAAAAGTAAATACACAGATAAATTCAGAAAGCATTCTTGAAAGAAGCAATTGTTTACATAAGATTTTTTTATAAAGTAAAAAAAATACAACTGACATAAATTATGTTTTTTAAATTATTAAGATATTTTATATATGTAAAATTGTAAAAAGACTATTTTTCAACTGGTTTTATTTAAAACAGTCTTTCTAAACTTTTTCATATGACATAATATAAATGCATTGTCTTGCATTTATATTATTCAACTTAATGCATCTCTTCGTTGTGTGAATGATAGATAGTGAACAAGAATTTTTTTTTTTCAATTAAACTTTAAATGAGTTTTATACTTTGTTTATTTTAATTTCAAAATTGTCTATTTCAAAATTGCGTAAGTTTTTATTAAGTATAATTTTTCCAAAAAGGTTAAACAATTGTTAACAATTAACATGTATGAAAGGAAGTATATTTTTTTTATATATTTGTTTTCTTTTTTATATTATAAATGTAAAAAAAATATGCTTAATAGTATTAAGTTTTTATGACAAAACTTTTTTAATGATTTCCACATTCATCTTGTTACTTTTTAAATAGTAGAAACTTTTTAAATTTTGAATTTCCTTTAAAATAATATATTTTAAGGAAAGTTCTTATATTTTATTTAAAATACTTGAGAAAATTTTTTTACATAGATTTCTATACATCTAATTTTATATGATTTTTATCATTAAATTATTATGTGTAAAATTTGAATAAATTTATTGTGATTTTAAATTGCATTAAATATGGTATTTAATATTAGAATAAAATAATTATAATATTGCGTGATATTTAATATTATAAAATAATAATAATAATATTGCATTAAATATGGTATTTAATATTATAATAAATTATCATGAAGAATAAGTGAAAAAACTAAATTAAAACAGTATACTTGATAGCTTTCAGTCACTCGCTTGGCTCGCTATGTACTTTTTTAACAAGCATTTCTGGACTCATTTATTCAGGTACATCGAAACTACTCAACCATAAAGAAAGTTTTGTTATTCAATATTATATAATGAACAAGATAATAATTTTTAAAATATTTTATTTATTTGGTTCTAAAGCATTTCTAATAGAAATGCAAAGCTTTTATTGTTTGCAGAAATAAAAGTTCAGTAAACAACTGCAAACAAATATTGTAGAAATACATCTGGAATACAAAGGTACCACCATAAATATACCCATGAAAAATACGTAAACATAATGGTTACCGAAAGGCTTCAATCTCAAATGTAACTATTTTCATTTATGAACTATATATTAACTTTTTTTTAGTTATGTAACTTAATTCTCACATTTTAATTAATACGTTTCAACTTGTAGACAAAATACTCTAACAGATCAATGTCAAATTACTTATTAAGGCATTCTGTGCAATCGTCATTGCGCTTTCTGATGCGCTTTGGTTTTCTAATGCATTTTGGATCAAATGTATTGATTGAGTAGTTTGCCAGAGTTTTTAACTTCTTGACTTCAACTTGACTTCAAACTAGAGAGAATAAAAAAGAATATTTAACAATTAATAAAATTCTATAATTATAAATAATATTTAATATTATCGGGTGGACACGTAAAAATGCGGTCAACTTTAAATTGAGATTTCTCTAAAACCATAAATGCTTTTTATTTCAATTTTTTTATTATTAAATGTGTTTACATAAATTAGAGTTTCAACTTAATTTTAAGGGGCTTGATGGGTTGCTTGGCAAGAAATCGAACTTTATAGCGGGTTGATGCCATCATTTTACAGATTTTTTCTTTTTTCACCATATTGGTGGCATTAATCCACTTTTTTTGGAAGTCCTTTTTATTATTTGTTAATCCACCTGTCTTACGAAGAACTCCTTTAACTATTGCCCAAAAATCTTCAATCTTGCGCTCTTCAGGACGATTTGGAAGATTTGCATCTTTAGGAACAATTTTCACATTATTATCTTTGCGCCACTGTAAAACTTTTTTAGAATAGTGAGAGGCAGCAAGATTGGGCCAAAAGAGTCATCTGTATTTGTGTTTCTTTATAAAAGGCTAAAGTCTTTTTTGGAGGCATTCTTTGATGTAGAGATTGGCAGGCAAGGTCTTTTTAGTGACAAAACAAGAGGTACCACAGCTACAAATTGCTTGCCACACAAGGAACTTGGATGCAAATTTTTCTCAACAATTATATTTATATTGATCATCGGCAGGTTTATCTTTGTTTTCATAGTAAAACTGTTGACCAGGAAGTTGTGAAAAATCCGTGTTGCAATACATTTCGTCGTCTTCAATTATGCACATATTTTTATCCGTTATTATTTTACCAACTTCTTTGCGCGTCGAATTCCTTTAATTTCACAATTTAAGCTTCTCTTAGGTGTATTTTTTTTATGATTCCAGCATTTTTAAGTACTTTTTTGATATAAAAACGAGAAGTCTTAAATTTTCTTGCTAGATCTCACTGTGACTGATTTGGATTTCTTGCTATTGAACGTAAAATCCACTTTACCTTTTTGGATTTATGGAAAGTTTTTTTTCTTCCACTTCCAAGTTTTTTTTCGAAGCTTTGAGTAGTCTTATATATATTATGTTACAGAAAAGGGTAAAGATAACAAACAAGTGTATGGATTTTCCATTTTAGTGATATTCAAAGCTATCAATTAGATGAACTTGAAGGTTTTAAAATGAATATTTGAAGTAAAAATTGATTCAGATAAGAACTCCTTTACTTTCATCCCAAATCTGCAACCATAAAGATCTAAAGGTTCAATCAAGTATACAAAATAAAAAATAAAAATAAAAAAGCTAAAAGTTTGTTATCATTCTGAAACATCTACGAAATTTTTTTTTAAACTTAAATGTTTGTCTATGGGATCAAAAACAATCCAATGAAGTTCTTATCAGCTGGAGTAAAGATCTAAGTTTCTTACTTTCATTGTATAAAGAATAAGGTCTGAGGTATTTATAACACTAGACTATGTGTTTGTGAAAAAATATTGAACATGTTTCACATGTTTAATATTTTTTCTCTTCATTTTATTTTTCAGGAGTCCTGGAAAAGTGGGAGAACCATTAAATTTTTTGTTTTATAGGAAATTTGTTTTATAAAGTTTTTGATTGATTTTAAAGAAAAACTTTAAATTTAAAGTTCAAGCTCAGAATGCTATGATAAAAATATTTACTAAATAAAAAATTGATTTCTAAATGAAGACATAAAAATAAGTTTCTTCTAAAATAAACTATAAAAATATTTGAGCTAACAAAACATTAATTAAAAATATATTAAAAAACACAAATAAACAAATCTAAAGAATTCTTTATATAATAGTATGAAACTCCATTAATGTGTTAAGACACTTAATGATTCTTGTAATTTAATTTTTAGTATAAATTTAAGTTTAAAGCATTTCTGACAAGTCTTTATTGATGAAATACTGTGTGTGTTTGATCAGAAAGATAATTTTGTTTAGCTTAGTTTAAATTTGTCTATAATCAAAGATGCCATTAAAAACTGTTGAAGGCATCTATTTTGTTTTCAAAATTCAAACACTTATAGATAATGATATAGTAGTAATACCTCGCATTGTTGATTAGGAATAATTTTTTCATTTCATCTAGTTGACTTTAACAACTTTAATTCTCACACTCTTAAGACTTTTTTTTTTTTGTACTTTTTTCTTTTAATTGTACTTAATTCTCAGTGTGCTTCACAATCCTATTAAGTAGGACACATGTTTTAATTAAGAAAATATTCTAGATGTTGTAATCATTTTTATTAATTTTCAGCTTCAATGTTTTCTTTTTATAAATATTTTATTTATATATTAGGGAGACACTGGATTATCAGGAGAAAAAGGGTTACAAGGAGCCAAGGGTTCAAAGGTAAAGATATTTATTAATTTTTTTTTTTTTTCACTCTGAAGATATCTTAATCTTCTAAAACTACTATTTCATGACTTTTTATCTGATAGTTGATGATAGATCTGTTAACTGCAACTTGTAAGCAATCTTAACTGCAACTTGTAAGCAATCTTAACTGCAACTTGTAAGCAATCTTTTAAAATAAGAAGTATTCAAATGACACTATACTGTAAAAATAAATATTGGTTTTTTTAGAAGAAAAAAATGAAGAATAAAACAATTGCTGCCTTAACCCAAACCATGAGTTAATGTTCTCTTTCATTTTGACACTACCTTGCATTTTCTCCATATTTAGTCAGTCGTTGTATGTTCTACTTTTTTTGAAAAAAAAAGTACACACATTTGGATTATTTTCTTTTTAAAAAAAAAACTTTCTACATCCAGTTTTTTTCTTCTTTTTTTGAAAAAACTGCTTGGATTCAATTCAGCATTTTTAAACTTACAGTTTGCAAAATGAATTGCAAAAATAGCAATATATATATATATATATATATATATATATATATATATATATATATATATATATATATATATATATATATATTATATATATATATATATATATAAAATATAGCTTATATTTTATTAATTGTTAGATGTTTTTAATTAAAAACACATAATAATATGAAAAAAATGTTTTTTAGGGGTATAAAGGAATGCAAGGATATAGAGGACATCCTGGCAAAACTGGTGAAAAAGTAAAACCTTAGTATTTATATTACTTCAATATGTTTTATGTTTTAAAAGAAATCTTTTAGTAAAATTAGTAATGTAAAATATCATATCAGCCATAACAAATCATATTTTTGACAGTTATTCCTTATGTTCAAAATTTGATGTGGCTGTTAACATGACTAGTGTTTAGATTACTTTTTAATTTCTGGTAGTGGCACTCTCTAAGCACAAGATTGGGACATTTAAATATTGTCTATTGCTATTATTTTTTTTTTATCTTTAATGTTGTAAACTAAAAAATTCTTTTTTCTTTAGGGCCAATTTGGTGAATCAGGGTCTATTGGTCCAGCTGGAAAAAGAGTACCTTTTTTAAATGTTTTACTGCACATTTATGATTTTCAATACAATAGTTTAAGAATACATAAAAATTTATCACCATCAAAAGTTTGGTGATAAAAAATGATGGTTATGAATTTTAGCAATATCTTTTTAAATTGATTTATTTTTTTTTAAACTTTATTTATTTATGAATATTCTTATAAATCTTACAATAATTTAATCATTATATAAATTGTTTATTTCTGTGTTTTATTTTAGGGAATTACTGGTGAAAAAGGAGAAGAAGGACCTGTTGGACCAATGGTTGAGTTTTTAAATTTTCCTAAATTAACTGCATTTAGTTTAAATCATCATCATTATCATCGTCATCATCATCATCATTGTTATTATCATCATCACTAACTCCATTATCAGAAGTTTGATTAATTTTTTACTAACTGCTAAAATACTAACTTTATTTAATGAAAAATATTTTTTTAAATCATGATTTAAAAAATTATTTGAAATGTTATGAATTTAATTGATTTAGTAGTTTACCAAAGTTTTTTACTTTTTGACTTCAACTTGACTTCAAACTTCTTGACTTCAACTTGACTTCAAACCTCTTGACTTCAATAGCATTACGTTTTAGATAAAATATACTGAGTTAATTACACATTAAATAAACCAACAAAACTAAAAATAAAAGCCACAATAAAATCATAACAATATAAATATTATTTAAGTATTATTATTTTAGGTAAAATTAAATTGTTTCAATGTTGTACTAGTTTAGTAAAACAAAATTTAAATTATTTAATCCTTAAAAAAATGTGTTGCTTTATAAATAACTATGTAACATTTTATATTTTTAATTTGCTTTTTTATTTAAATGTTACAGTATTTGTTTTGATTTCGTTTACAAAAATTACTTTGTTTACTGCTATTTATTTTGTATTTGGTGCTTTAAGAAGTTGAATAATACTTTGTCGATATTAAATATTTATATCACATTTATACTAAGAAAAATGTGATATAAAGAATTTTATCCTAATTTAAATTTTTGACTTGTTTGACTTTTTTAAAGGGTCATATTGGAAGACAAGGCCCAATTGGAATTGTTGGGAAACCTGGACAACAAGTAATGATTTAAAAAACTATTAAATTTTTTCCTGACATTTTTCTTTATAAATATTTAATTAATACATTTTGTTTAGTTGTTATTTTTTTTAAACTGAATTCACTCCCAACAAGGCTGCAAGAAGCCATTAAATAAATTTGGAGTTTAACAAAAAAATTTAACAAAAAACAAAGAGCAAAGTAAAAATAGCAAGAAATTGGTTGACAGAAAACTTTAAAAACTGTAAATTGCATGAGTCAGGAAAATATGAAGACCTTAGAGATATAAAATGAAGAGACCAAAGCACAGATGTTCAAGGAGAAAAGATTAGATAAATAAATATTTTTGAATGAGCATTTTTTATATGAAGGAGCAGTTACAGTAAAAGAATTTGCTGAATGAAGTTGAGTTTTGATTAATGGAACAGATAATGATAGCTTGCTTAAACAGCTATCTTAGTAGTTTTTTTAGAAGGAACAAAACTCAAATTTACAGCAAAATTATATAAATTAAATATAAGACTTTTTTTTTTCAGAACTATTGAACAATTTTCCTAAAGTTTCTACCAAAGAAACTTGATTTTTGATTTTTGATGGAAAATTGATTTTTTTTTTTTTTTTTTTTTTGGTTTAAAGAATAATATTTTGAAGAGTAAATGTTGAAGTAAATTATCTTAAGAATAAATCAACATAAATCAATTTCTTCTGGCAGAATTAATTTATTATTTCTGAAAGTAACTGAAAGTTAAAAAGAAAACTAATAAACATAATTTAGTTGTTGTAGTTTTAATTTTTTGGGAATGAAATGTTTATTCATTATTGTACCATTTGACCGTGAAACTATTTGAGACAAAAATAAAAACTTGCATGATTCATATGTTGAGGTAATGAAGGAATCAGTTCAAAATGCAGTAATTGATTGAAACAAGCAAAAAATGAGAAAAACACTAGATTCAGATATTTTGATTCTGAGAAAATTAAAAGAAACCAAAACTCAAATGAACATTTTCAAAATACATGAATATATGTACAAAAGTGGAGTCTTTGGTACAAATATGACCTTACCATGGGGAGAACACTTATAAACCTTAGATAAGTATTTCAAATCTAATTTAAGTATTCTCTTACTTATCTTGCAAATAAAAAATGAGTTTTGGAATAGGTATATCTAAAGAACTAATGAAAATCAATTAAGAAATGCTACATTGATAAAGTAACCAAGAATAAAATTGAAGTTTATGTCATTGGCCAACCTGTTTTTCTTTTAATGTTTTTTTTTTTTTTTTTTTTTTTTGTTATAGCATTTTTGAATAATAAACTTTTTGGTATTTGATTTGATAATGAGTATTTTTTGTTTCTTTTTAATTTTTTTTAATGTTTGAAAAATAAATAAAAAATTTATCAGTTTTTTTCAAGTTTAAAAAAAAATTTGTTTAAAGTATTCCAGCAAAAAAATGATTTTTAGTTTTTTTAAAACTAATGAAATCAAACTAATTTTTGTTTTAAGGGCCCACCTGGAGAACAAGGTTATGTTGGTCCAAAAGGAGAAAAGGTTAATTTTAATTATTTTATAAATTTTTATGAAAATAAATATATAATGGGTACGCATTTTTTTGTATGAACAAAATAAAATTTTAAAATTGATTTATAATTATGAAATGTACATTTCAAAAAAATGATTAATATAAATATAGATATATAATTTTTCACTATAAAACTTTTTCACTGAGTTTAACGCTTTTTCGTGACCATGAAAGCTGTTCAATAGCTTCGGATAATCATCTGCATTGTACATTTGGTCAGTAAACCAATGGTTCGCCCATATGTAAGAGATAATGTGTGTATGTGAGTTATGTTATATATATGTGAGTTTCTTCTCTCTGCTAGAAGAATAAATGTCAAAAATGCTAGTATTGGATGGGAATTCCATCTTTTATTATTTAATGTAGATATTTTCTGAAACTTCATTTCAGGAAATACTTCAGATTCTTTAAAAAAGCGGAATACCCGAGTTAAATGAAATAGAAATTTCATAAATACATTGAAATTCATACAAACAAATATTTGATATTGAGCAACATGTTGTTTCCTCCAAGTTCTTCATTCATACCCAAAGGACTTGGACAAGAAAATGTTGTTAACAACCAATGAATTGTGGTTCTTCCAGTCTCTTTACAGTAAAATGTCTTTGCAACTGACTGACAATCCCATTACCTCCTCCAGTGTTTACATGCAGTTTCAGCTATAATAATCTTTATACTCGTCCATAAATTGTAAAATAGCTGTTATAACTTTAACAACAGTATCAGCTTTACTTTTAACAACAGCTTTTTAGTCTGGTAAATCTAGTGTTTGAAACTTAACTTCTCTTTGTTTATTCTACAACACTTGAAATTTTGATAAAGTGCAGTAACCAGCTTTCTAAATGTATTTTTTTTCTTCATTTCTTCTATAAGTTTAACAGCATCTTTAACAATTTAACAACAATTTAGATTTCGGGTAGTATACTGCTGTTATCTTCCAATAATAGTTTTTCTAGTGGAATAGTTCTTCTTTTCCTATGTGATTCATAAAATTGTACAAGATTCTTCATTCAAATTGTTTAATTCAGTAAGTGGTAGGACTTTTCTTATAGTTCAGTAAGTGGTAGGACTTTTCTTATAGTTCAGTAAGTGGTAGGACTTTTCTTATAGTTCAGTAAGTGGTAGGACTTTTCTTATAGTTCAGTAAGTGGTAGGACTTTTCTTATAGTTCAGTAAGTGGTAGGACTTTTCTTATAGTTCAGTAAGTGGTAGGACTTTTCTTATAGTTCAGTAAGTGGTAGGACTTTTCTTATAGTTCAGTAAGTGGTAGGACTTTTCTTATAGTTCAGTAAGTGGTAGGACTTTTCTTATAGTTCAGTAAGTGGTAGGACTTTTCTTATAGTTCAGTAAGTGGTAGGACTTTTCTTATAGTTCAGTAAGTGGTAGGACTTTTCTTATAGTTCAGTAAGTGGTAGGACTTTTCTTATAGTTCAGTAAGTGGTAGGACTTTTCTTATAGTTCAGTAAGTGGTAGGACTTTTCTTATAGTTCAGTAAGTGGTAGGACTTTTCTTATAGTTCAGTAAGTGGTAGGACTTTTCTTATAGTTCAGTAAGTGGTAGGACTTTTCTTATAGTTCAGTAAGTGGTAGGACTTTTCTTATAGTTCAGTAAGTGGTAGGACTTTTCTTATAGTTCAGTAAGTGGTAGGACTTTTCTTATAGTTCAGTAAGTGGTAGGACTTTTCTTATAGTTCAGTAAGTGGTAGGACTTTTCTTATAGTTCAGTAAGTGGTAGGACTTTTCTTATAGTTCAGTAAGTGGTAGGACTTTTCTTATAGTTCAGTAAGTGGTAGGACTTTTCTTATAGTTCAGTAAGTGGTAGGACTTTTCTTATAGTTCAGTAAGTGGTAGTGGTAGGTTCAGTAAGTGGTAAGTGGTAGGACTTTTCTTATAGTTCAGTAAGTGGTAGTGGTAGGTTCAGTAAGTGGTAAGTGGTAGGACTTTTCTTATAGTTCAGTAAGTGGTAGTGGTAGGTTCAGTAAGTGGTAAGTGGTAGGACTTTTCTTATAGTTCAGTAAGTGGTAGTGGTAGGTTCAGTAAGTGGTAAGTGGTAGGACTTTTCTTATAGTTCAGTAAGTGGTAGTGGTAGGTTCAGTAAGTGGTAAGTGGTAGGACTTTTCTTATAGTTCAGTAAGTGGTAGTGGTAGGTTCAGTAAGTGGTAAGTGGTAGGACTTTTCTTATAGTTCAGTAAGTGGTAGTGGTAGGTTCAGTAAGTGGTAAGTGGTAGGACTTTTCTTATAGTTCAGTAAGTGGTAGTGGTAGGTTCAGTAAGTGGTAAGTGGTAGGACTTTTCTTATAGTTCAGTAAGTGGTAGTGGTAGGTTCAGTAAGTGGTAAGTGGTAGGACTTTTCTTATAGTTCAGTAAGTGGTAGCACTTTTCTTATAGGACATTTTGATTGAAGATAATACTTGTATATATTTCTAAAAGGAAATAATAATAAATAAAAATGCTTTTGTATTTCTAAATTATTTGACTGTCATCTGTGGAATACAGATTTATATATAATTATTAGCTTTTGCAAACAGCTTATATAGTCTAAATCTTGCTAATTTCAATCAGAGAATGAAAGATACAGCATATTAAGGTCAGTTCATATTAGTATATTATTTTCACTTTAGCTTTTGAAATGCCAACCTTAATTCAGAAATTTTCTTTTTTACAAAAAAAAGAAAAATTTATTCATCTGTACAACTCGTTATTTATATTTAATAGATTAAATATAAATTTTCACTATAGACATTTTTTTTAAATAAAAATATGCATCTTTAATATTACTTTAGTTTCATTGATTTTAATGTCTACCCACCTCAGTCTTCAAGTTACAAATTTTGTAGTTAAGACCCAATTGTGTAAACTCAAAGCAGTAACTTTCATTAAGTATTTCTCTCTTTTTTTGTTTTGTTTTTGGATATGGGATAAAAGGGTGTGGCAGAAAGGTATTACTAACAAAAATATTATTTTATAGCAGCCCCTAAAAAATACTATATCAATATTTATATATAGGGTTATCCAGGAGATCCAGGAATTGTTGGAGCAGTAGGTGAAGATGGTCCACCAGTAAGAACTTTTTTTAACTGTTTTTTGTTTATATAAAAAATTATTAATTGATAAATGTTAAAATGAATCTAAATTTTAATCATCTAGGGTTTGATGGGAAAGACTGGACCACCTGGTCGTATGGGTGAACCTGTAGAGTTTATATTTATTCTTTATTTTTACTATCACTATTAACATTTATTTTCTGTATTATCTATTTTTCTATTACTATCTCATTGTTACATTATTATTATTTGATTATTATCAACCTTTAACTATCTTTAGAAAAATACAACTTTTTCATATTGCATTTATTTATTTCATTTAAATTTGCAGGGAGATCATGGGTACCCAGGTCCTCCAGGTGCTTTTGGCGAACAAGGACAAGAGGTATCTTTGACAGCAGTTTATGTTAAATAATGACTATGAACCTGCATTAGTTTAGAATAGTTAAGTTTAGAATATAATACATTAGTTTAGAATAGTTAGGTCAAACATGTAAATGAATAAGGCAAGAAAATAATTCCTATAAATTCAATATATTAGGATTTATATTTTCAAAAATAAGCTTCTTTAAATTAGTTTAATGATGTTGTTTTATAGGGTTTTTTATTTTGTTTTTTCAGGGCATAGCAGGTGATCATGGCCCACCTGGTAATAAAGGAGACAAAGTAAAATAATCTTCAGACGTGATTATGTTAAGTTGTTATATGATAATTTTTTTAATTAATATTTTGTTTGTATTATCTTCCTTTTTTTTTAATTTTAAGGGTGTTGATGGAGCCATCGGACGAACAGGAGTGGTTGGAATAAAAGGAGAAAGGGTATGCCTAAATATTTATTACACTAATGGCTTTTTTTTATGTATTATGAATGTTTTTTATAAGAGGTAGGTATTTTGCGAATTAAGGGTGTACCCATTGAAAATATTAAAAAGGGTACACCCATTAAAATTGCATGTTTTTAAATGTAGGGTGCTGCTATTTTAAATGTGGGGTAATGCTATTTTCGAATACATTTTTTATTTAATAATATTTCTTTTTATTTGTTGCATTTTAAATACAATTTTTTGTTTTTTAATATAGGGTGTTCCTGGAATAAAAGGTAACATTGGAGAGAGAGGACCAAAAGGTAAAAAAGTAAGTAAAGTAAAAATTGGTGTTGAAATTGCATATTTGTGATTGATTTAGTTTAATGTCAAATAACTTTTTTTTGTTCTAGGGTATGAATGGTATGCCAGGTCCAGTTGGTGTTCCAGGAATTCCTGGTTACAAGGTAAAATATATATCTAAATGACAAACTTGTGCAAATACTGAAATGAAAATTTTGATATACATAAATACATATAATTATCTTTATGTGTGCATATAATCATCATGTTTGCATAATAAATAATTTTAGAGCTATATAATTATTTGATAAAATAAAATAAAAAACTACACTATGTTTGCAACTTTAAACTTGTTTAAAATATATATATTCTAACCATATACATAAATAAATGTATAATGCATATATGTATGCATACATTCATTCACATATACTTACCTATCTATTTTATCCATATATACAATTAGATACAAAATGATAATAATAAAATAGTACTAATCTTATTTTTATTACTGTTATGCGTCTAATTTTGCACCTTGTGGTGCTATTGTACATAATGTATTATGATCTTGTATGCAGTGATATTTTTGTTCGGAAATTAATTTTAGTTTTAGTTTTTATTCAGTTTAGAGGCAAAGTTTTTAGTTCTAGTTCTTATTCAGTTCATCTTAAAATAATTTTAGTTTTAGTTTTTATTTAGTTCAATTTTCGTTTGTCGTATAAATTTTTTATCTCATCTAATTATAATTTAGTATAATTTATAAATAATATAGGCATATATAATTAAAAGAAGTAAGTCTTAGTTCTATAAACAAACAAAAAAATGAGAACTTAATTAAATGTAATACACCCAGTCCCATGGCTAGAAGTTTAGAGCCCCGCCCACCGCCCTTAATAAAAAACACAACAACAACCTTATTGCTCTAAAACTTAAAAAAATTTCAATTATTAGGTATAAAAAAAACTCCTCAAATTTGGTAACAATAAAAACTAATGAATAGTTATTGTATAGACTTTAATAATTACTCATATATTTTACAAATAAAGGGCCTAGTGATTATATGATTATCATCTAGACTAGATGAGAATTTAGTTTTAAGAAAACTCGCATTTCCAATGACGCTGACATTCGATTTCTCCGTCCATTTGTGAGCAAGCCACAGATTGAAAAAAGTCTTTCAACATATGCTTGAGTTGCAGGAGCTGCAATGAGGTCTTCAGCTAATGGTGCAATATGTGGGTAAACAGCACGTCTCATCTTCCAGAAATTTAAAGCATTTTGGCACATAGAGCTGTTCCTTATTTCAATAAAATATTTGTTGAGTTCATTTTGTGCTTCATTACCTGGAATAAGCTTTATTTTTTCTACTCGCTGTTTTGCCGCTAAAAATTTCCATTTTGTTAATCCATTTATTTCTGGAGCAATCTCAACAGAAAGAGTAGATGCACTTGCTAAAGGTAAATCATGTTGCACCGATTTTTTAGCCTCTGACAAAATGTATTTCTTTGCACACTCTCTGATTTGTGTATGCTCATTACCTAAAAGAGCTATTGCACATGTGGGGTCAAGTAGACATGCGGCACATGGCAGTGGATTAAAATTAGGATCGTTTGGCTGCAAAAGAACGGCAAAACGACGGCGTAGATCTTCAAGCATTTTAACTGCTACATCTTTGGCATCTCCAAATTGCTCAAGGTGACATTCTAAATTAAGTATTGAAGGTATAACACTGGATAGTGAAAGTGCATCCGTCTGAAGAATATCAGTTTCATTGGCAAAAGGTTCTAAAAGATTGACAAAATCCTGAAGCATTATCCATTCGCTATTGGCAAGTGAATCAATGTTAAGGTCTCCAAGCACTTCGTTGATAGATGTTTTTATTTCCAGAAATCTCCGAACCATAAAGTAAGTGCTGTTCCATCTTGTAGAACAGTCGCTGATCACAGTCTTACCACATTTGTTGATAATTTTTTCCAATGCAACAGAAGATTTGCGAACTTTTCCCACTAATCCACGTACCTTCAAAAGTAAGCCATGATATTTACCATCATATGCAAGTTTTACAACTAGCTGTATAACATGTGCAATGCATCCCAATCTTCTAAATGCTACGTTTTCTATTACATCAACTATCAAGTCAACATGTTCCCACTCTTCACTATTTGTCATATTCTCATCGTCTTCCAGATCTGTTATCTGCTCTTCATTAACCTCACTTTCTAATTCAATAAGTATAGCAGGTTCAGCTTGAGCTTTCATTCTCGACAACTTTATGCCTTTGACCATGTTTGCTCCATTGTCCGAAATAACAAGCAATATTTTTTCTCTGGAAATATTCCAATATTTTAGGCATTTTTCAAAACAATTAGCAATTTGTTCACCTGTATGTGGATGTTTCACAAGATACAAATTAAGCAGAGCATGTATTGGTTTTTCGGATTTGAATGAAAAAAACAAACCGAAATTCCTAAAAAGGACGCAGTAAGACCTTTTTTAGTCCAGCCATCAAGGCATATTGTGAAGCGCCTGCCTTCAGATATGAAGTCACGAAGTTTTCTCGTTAAAACAGTAAATTCTTCATTAAGTAGGCTAGTAATTTTGGCAGAAGCAGGCAATGAAAATTTATAATCCAAGGTATTAACTAACTTTCTAAAACTCGCATTATCCACCAATGTCACTGCATTACATGTTGCAATTATCATTTGAATAAGAGAGTTTAGTCGAATTTTATGCTCGTGTGAATTAATAGGCCATGCGGTATTCCTACGATTAATGCATTGAATCAAGGTCTGGTTCTGATTTGAGGACGATTCTAAAAGAGTGGGTCCATTTTCATCCACTGCTTTTCTCTTTATCCCTGTTTGCTTTTTTTTACTTAATTTCTTTAATTCCGACTCTTCCAGCTCAACGTGTACAGACTTATGGTTTCTTGCTAAATGTAGCTAGAAAAAAATAAACATATTTATATAATTTTTTGTTTGTATATTTATATGTTTATTTATCTATCTGTTTATCAATTAATGTATAAATAAGTTTGTATACGTTATTGAATAATTACTCTAAAATGATAAAAATGAGTCGTTTGTTTCAAAATGAAAACATATCCTCTAACAGATAAACTAACTTTAAGATTTGTTGGGTTCTTTCCACACAACTTTGTATTGCATACTTTTTCACCATCAAGTAAAACTAAACATACTGATTTGTCGGATGATGCATCGTATTTAAACCATTTCCATACTGAACTATTCCTCTTCCTACCAGCAAAAAGTTTACTCAAACTCATCGCGTAGTTGTGTTGGTCTTACAGTTTGATTTTTTTTAGTTCGAAAAAATATATTCGAATAAATATATTCGAACTATATCATAACTAAACTTATTCAAACTTAATTGAATAAAATTCAATTAAGTTCGAATAATATATCATTATAATGTATTGTAATATAATAATTATATATATCAAATAATTCAACTCGTTTCAAATCTAGAACGAAAATATTTCGTTTTAAAATAATTTTCGATTCAGTTTTTAGTCCGTTCGAAAATTTAAAATTATCGTTTTTATTCTGTTCTCATTCTTAAAATAAATTTCGTTTTAGTTTTCGTTTACGTAAACGAAAGGCTTTTTTTTTCGTTCTCGTTTTCGTTCTCGTGTACGAAAATATCACTGCTTGTATGTCTATCTTATATCTATTACTTTATATCTATTACTATGTAGTATATCTATGCTTGTATTGCTATCAAGTAAGTTTCATCAACCCTAATCAAATATATTTAAAAAAAGATATAGTATTTCAAAGAAATTCACAATAGTACAAATATTAATATAAACTAAGTACTTAAAAGTACAACATAAATTAAAATGCTATCAGGATTGAAATTTTTTTTAAATGTTAGTTCACCTCCCCAATATCGAGAAGGCCACTACAGTTGAGGAGGCTATATTAATTGTGGTTATAATCCTCTCTCAACTCTATAACTCCAAAACACAAACCTTGACAAGTTAAACACAATGCTGTGTTTAACTTGTTTCTCCACTGTTGGGTGGAGAAACAAGTTAAACACAGCATTGCCAGGAAGTTGGTGAGGAAGTTGCTTATGAAGGGAGCACTCTACCACAACTGCATTTAATTATGTTTTTTAAAACAAAAAATGAGTTTCATTATGCTGATTAAAATTTCATGATATGTACCACTCAGCTTATATTTTTATCAATTTTAGTTTATCTAGTTCTTTTGTTTGTTCGTGTGTTTATAAATAAGATAGATATTGAATCCTCGTTTAGTCCTAAAATATTTTTTAATAATTATTTTTGTTTGGTAATGTATAGCATTTTATATCATAAGTATTAGTAGCTTGGTTCTGCTTCATAAAATCAATTAGCAATTGGAGAACACTTGAAGACAGCAATAATAACATCTTTCTTGATTATCTTTTTTTCTTCCAATTTTGTATTCTTGCTATTTATAATTGCATCTAAATGTATGATTATTGTATGAAAAGTTAAAGATTTTTGTTTAATGGTCAAAATAACTTGTTAAATTTGTTCTAATATTATTTTTTGTTTGTTTGAGAACATGTTTTAATTTTAGATATATTTTGTTTTTAAACTTATAATTGAGATATCAGTTTGAAAAACAGCTGTTATATAAATATTTTCTTATAAGAATTATTCAAATTTTGAAAATATTTTTATTTATAGTTATTACAAGTATTTATATGTTTTTACACTTGAATTAAGAAAATTTATAAAGATTAATTAAGAGAAAATATTCCATCTTTATTAAATTTACTACGTCAAGAATAACTCGATTTTATGTAAAAATTATACATTAGTTATTAAATATGCATTTGTTACTAGTAACAAAGTATACTAGGCATAAAGTTAGTTTTTATTTGTTGTTAACTGAAATTTTTAAAGTAAATATTTTGTTGTTGTTGCGACTCTAGTATTTATGAAATTATTATTTAAATTATATTTTAAGACAATGTTTTCCAAATTAAATTTATTTTTTTAGGGTTTTCCAGGAATGTTTGGTGAGGAAGGTACTCCGGGTACTACTGGAAAAAAGGTATTGTTCTTTGTTAAGTATTTGAATTAAAATTTTTTCAAAAGCTGATGGAGCTAGCTTCATTCACATATGCTGATGTAGCCAGTTTTATCATCCATGTACACTGATGGAGCCAGCTTCATCATTCTAGTGTACTGATGGAGCCAGTTTTATCATTTATGTATGCTGATAGAGCAAGCTTTATCATTCACGCCAGCTATAATTAACGATGTTAGAAAAGACTTTCTAAAAAATGCATCAGGAGCATTGAGGACCATCATGAAGTCTGGCAATAAACTTTAAAGAAATTGTTTATGAAAGTTCTTTGCTAATTAAAAATTAATTTAAAAAAAAAGATCTTTTTATTTCAAAATTATTAGTAAAAATTGTTTTTACTGTTGTAAAAGCAACTTTTTTATTTATTGTATTTTATATTTATACCATCTAGCCTTCAGCTGTACAGTTTTACTTTAATCCAGCTGTTGCAAGTACATTGGCTTTAAACATACATAAAACTGTAGATAACTGTAAAACTTTGTTTTTTTTTAAGGGTGAAAAAGGTTTACAAGGTGGGAAAGGTATTGCTGGCAGTAAAGGGGAAAAGGTAATCTGTTTTTTCCTAAATCAAAAAAAGGGTTTGGTTAATCTAAAATAATTTAGAGTTTTTTTAATTTTTAATTAAAATTTTTTCTTTAGTCAAAAAAATTTTTCTTGTTAGGGTTCTCATGGTGATTTTGGAAATAAAGGTTTACCTGGAATTAAGGTAGAAATTTACAAATTTTATATATATTTATATATAGATTATATTATATTTATATATAGATTATTATATATTGATTTATATATAGATTATATTATATTTATATATAGATATAGATAGTTTATATTAACCTCTGGTGAAAAAAATTTGGCACAAAATAAACGCAAGCAGTAATAGTACAAAAAAAAGTTTAATAAACAAAAAATTAGCACAGAATAATAAGCAGTATATTTATTTTTTACTTTTGGGACTGAAATAATGCTTTCTCAGCATTACAACGTCCTGTGTCAACCTTTGTATACATGTTTGCACATGTTTTTTACAAGATTTTTATCAACTTTTCTTATAAAGAAAGGTTTTTTTTTTGCAGCTAAACTTCATTTTTAGCTTCCTAATTGTTTTCATACACATAGCATTAATTCTGGAACACATGCCGGTTTATCAGCTTTTGTTACATAACAGATATTTTTTTCATCAAGGTAATTGGTCACACTTCTAGCATAGTGTGAAAAGGCCAAGTCAGGCCAGAATATATAATTATCATCACTGTGTTGTTCGTTGATAAAAGGAATCATTTTTTTGATGATGCAATCATTTTTATACATTGTTTGGTTAATTGCTATTCTTTCATGAATAATAAATGGTTTTGAGATTCCACGAGAGGATATGGTAATACACAAAAATTTTTTTTTCCAGTTTTTGCACTTATATTTTACATTTTTTGATGGAATTTTTATTTGTATGTTTAAATGTTAAACAAGATTCATCAGCAATAATGAATTCACAGTTTCTGCGACAAATTCTGCCACAGTTGCAACTGCTTTAATATTACTCAGTTACTCAGTGCGATTAGGGATTTGTTTTTTCTTAAAATAACAAATGTTTGTTTTGTTTTTTAATGTTTTTACAATGTAGGATGATCACAGTTGAATTTCTTCGCAATTTTTTTGTTAAAGTTCCGAATTGATTATCCAAGAGACCGTTCAGGTGATTCATCTTCCTAGCAGTCATAACTTTTGGTTTTCTGCCTGATCCAGGCATACAAGACTTTGTCTCATTGTTCTTTCACATTGCCATATAACATTTAATGGTTCTTTTAGGGTGATTAGTGGCAACAAAATACTTTACAATGTTCTTCGTTTTAGTGTTAAAATGCAAATTACAATAGTTTGATCAATATCAATTGTTCAATTGATATTGTCAGCTTCATTTTAGAATAACTTTTTTTTAAAATTAAAGTAAACAAAACTGTCAGTAAAAGATAAACACTTTATTAACAAAACAACTAAAAAAAGCTTTTCTACATATTTCTGTTTAGAAAATTGATCAACACTGATTAAAAATACATAAATCAAGTTAGACTTTGGATCATGGGTGTTATTTATGGATCATGGGTGTTATTTTTAGGCTCATTTAAAAATCTAAAATTAAAAGTGAACTACAGAGACATGCCAAAGATATTTTTATATCTATCCTTTTATCAATTTTATTGATTTCTATTCTAGTTACTATTTTATTGATTTTTATTCTATTTAGTAACTTAATCAAAACAAAAGAAAGTTTTATAAAATTTACAGTTGTGGAAATGTTGAAATAAAAAGCTTGAAAAATTTAATATAAGAATATGAATCAGCTTATGTTATTTTTATCAATATAATATTACACTGATCATGTTTCAATTTTATTACTGTCAACACTTATTCAAATAACAAATCCTTGTTTGTAGGTATTTCTTAAGAATTGATTGTTTTAATTCAACCACTTTGAAATTAATTATTTTTAACAATTTAAACAGCTATTATAAATGATATATGATGCTTTTAAACTTCTTAAATACTATAACTGTTGTGAACTTGGGTTTTCAAATAATGAAATCAAATAATTTATATATTTATAGGGTTCAAAAGGGTACCCTGGTGAAGTTGGAGATTCTGGAATGGAAGGTCAAGTGGTAGACATTTTTTAAAATTGTTTTTATATGTTTTAATTGATATCAATGTAAAAGCGAATAATATGGCGTTTTTTAGCATGTAATATAATATAATTATGCTTAACTTTAAATACCAGGTGTAGTAATTGAAAACCGGGTTTGGCACATAGATAGCGTTTTTTCCAAAAGTACTCAATATAAAAATATAAATAAATTTTTTTTTTTTTGACAGCTATAACATTCATCTACAAAAATTAGTTGTCAAACGCGTCTCAAACAACAACATTTTTTTTTATTACATTAAAAACGTTGAATTTTGTACCAGAAAAGCATCATTTGCAAGAGGCTTTACTTTTTTGTTTTCATTTAAAAAAAACTGCTGCTGATGCTTATCGAATGCTTGAGGAAGCTTAAGGTAAATATATTCCTTCGAAAGCAACTTGTGAAGACTGGTTTAAACGATTTAAAATTGGTGATTTTGATATGAAAGATAAACAATGTCCAGGTCAAGAAAAAAAGTTTGAAGAAAGCCAATTGCATAAATTATTGGATGAAGACGATACACAAACTCAAAAAGAATTGGCAGAAGCATTAAATTTTTGTCAAAAAAAAATTTCCAATTGTTTGAAAGCAATGGGAAATATCTAAAAGCTTGGAAAAGTGAATTCCACATGAGTTGAACGAAAGACAGCAAGAAAGATGAAAAACAATTTGCGAAATGCTCAAATAAAAACAAGAAAGATAGGGTTTTGTGCATCAAATCATTACTGGAGATGAAAAATGGATGTTTTTCGAAAATTCAAAAAATATATTTAGTGCACTTAAATGGAAAGAATTGCCACACCCGCCATATTCACCAGATCATAAATGTCATTGAAGCTTGCAGACCAGCACTTCAATCAAGCTGTAGAAGTCAATAAATGGGTTGATGAGTGGTTCGCTTCAAAAAACGAACAATTTTATCGAGATGGAATTCGTAAGTTCCCTGATAGATGGGAAAAATGTGTAGCTAACGATGGAAAAAAAAATTGAATAAACCATCTATAATCACTAAAAAAAAAAGTGTTTTCTTCGATAAAAAAAATCCTGGTTTTCAATTATTCCACCTGAAAAAACTGATAATAATTATTAAACTAAAAAGTTAGAAATTATCTAGCCAATTATAAACTAGATTTTATGATTGGTCAGAATTTTTATGACTTTTCTTGTTACTTGCTGAAATATTTTTCTAACTATGAAGTTGCTGATGCATTTTTTCTTCTTAATAAGGTTTTTGTTGTTAGGTTGCAAATTATTCTTGTTGCTGAGCCTAATATAACTTTTATGTTATTATAATGAAAAACTTATTACTTTTTTCAATAGGGTGCTAAAGGCAAAAAGGGGGACATAGGAATTCCAGGTGAAAAGGTAGTTTTGAAATTATTTAAATGTTGTTGTTTTATAGTATCATACTATTTTCAAGTATTGATATTGTTAATTTTAACTTTTCTATAATGATAGGGAGATAGAGGGGATGAAGGGCAAAAAGGATTTCATGGTGAAAATGGGAACAAGGTAAATTTTAAATGATTTATTTTTGATATAACAAAAAGTTATAAATAGTTGGTCGTGGTTATAAATATTTGGTTGTGGTTGTAAATAGTAACTTATAAATAGTTATTGTTATAAGTATTTATTCTAACATTATTAATAGATATTCGTTATAACTATTGTTATTTATTTTATATTTTATGTTTAAAGATTTTATATATATATATTTTTTGATTTACCGAATATTTCCAGGGTAAACGAGGAGTTATTGGATCTCCTGGTAACATTGGTTTGAAAGGACCTCAAGTATTTTTTAGATATTTTTTGTTTTAGAAAAATGATAATTTTTAATTTTAATCAATTATAAACTAAAAAATCAAGAAAAATATTAAATGTATGATTTTTATTTTGTATAAGCATATTTTTAGGGACAGATTGGATTACCAGGAAATATTGGCCAATCAGGTCTGGTTGGCCTCAAGGTAACAAAAAAATTAAAATTAATTATTAAATTATTAAAAAATAAAATAAAATTTTTGTCTTTTTAAATTTTTGTTCATTATTTGCAACTTTTTGTAAAATTTTAACACTTGTCTATTATATTATGTTATCTCTTTAATTTAGGGTGTCAAAGGAGAAGTTGGTGCAACTGGTGAAAATGGTAATCAGGGACCAGAAGTAGGATGTTCATTTTTAGCAACATTTTATTTGACATGTTGTTTATTTATGTTATTATTGTTATGGTTCATATTATTACTACTGCCTAATTTTAACTTTTACTGTAATTATTTTTGTTATAAAATGTTTTTAGGGTAAAAAAGGCCCATCAGGAAAAACTGGGAAAAAAGGAAGAGATGGTCCAAAGGTTTTTAAAATATTTTAAAATTAAATCTATTTTTAATCACAATACTTTATCAAAGCTGTTTGCTCTAACAGGTGTTGTCATCAAACCTCTAATAATATATTGTAAATAAAGTTCTAACATTCTTTCCTAACACATTTAAGATTTTGAACTTTTAAAACCAATTTAGTTTATTTTTTAGGGGGATTTATTAATTTTAGTTGAGGTAATATTGATTTAGTTGGGGTAATATGATTGATCTGACATAAAATTAAAATAGTTTGTAAGTAATTAAGCTTATATGAAATAGTAATAAAGTTAAAATCTATATTATTTCTAAATGCTTTTGTAAATTTGTATGGTTAATTTATTGCTCTAAACAGTTCTCATACTATAAATAAGTACTATAGACTCATATAATGAGTTTTGATCTAGTAGAATAGAATTTGATAGTAGAATGATAATTATTATCATTAACAGTTGAAATTTAATGATAGTATTATAATAATACAATATAATATAAGCTATACTTTTGTAAATTTGTATGGTTAATTTAGGGTTCGTCCATAAAGTACGTACGCTTATAGGGGGAGGGGAGGTCTTCAAAAAGTGTACAAAAGCATATTGGAAAGGTTTAATTTAAAAGTACGTACTTCGATTTTCTAATTTTACACAATTAACCAGCTAGTCAATAGAAAAGTTAAAATTCTGACTAAAGATCCTAGTCTGCCAACATAAAAAGATGTATAGAGAGTAAAAGGTATAGTTTCTCTCTATGCACACACATCCCCTCCCCTGCTCAAACGTGAGGGCACTAATGTAGTAAAATTTTCAGACCCCCTCCCTCCAAAAAAATAAATAAATGAGGGGCTACACATTTTGCATCCACATAACTTTTGTAATTTACAATATTTTTCAACAAAATTTAAATTCTGCCGATAAATTTGAATTTAGTTTTGGATTGTTAAGTTAAAATTTTTACTACATAAGTACCCTCAGGTTTGAGCAGGGGGGGCAAGCGTTTCAAGGCTATTTGTTCACAAGTCTCCACCATCCCAATTTTTTACAAGGTCTTCTCATTTGGCATAGGTATAAACATACTTAAGTTTGGAGTTTGCACAATGTGTGAAAGTGTCTTATCTGGAATGGGTACGTTCGTTATAGATGACCCCTTATTGCTCCAAACAATTTTCATTCTATAAATAAGTAATATAGACTCATATAACGAGTTTTGCAATCTCAGCAATAGAATATTATTAATTATTAATAGTTATTATAATTAACAGTTTGAATTAAATAATTTTTATATGTATAAAACTAATGTAAACAAAGTCTTTAAACAATATTAAACTGATTGCTGAAATTTTTTTACATTACTTACATTTTGCTTGAGAAAGTGTTCTATTTGACATTAGAGTTTTTGATATTTTAAAGTTCTTTTTATTTGCTTTTCATACTTAACATACATTAGCTACTAGAATTTACTAAATTACCCCAAAACTAGTTCAATTGAATAATTAACTCAAAACAATGTTGAAACGTAATTATGTAATTCGGGTTTTTTTAAATTTAAATATATTTATTTATTTTCTCGAAATTTTTACACAATCACGTTTTGTCTATAACTATATGAATAAAAATGTTTTATTTTGAGAATAGATATTAACAGATTATAACAATTATTAACATTTTAAAAAGTTATTCACGCTTGTGTTATTTAAAAAAACTTTAATGTACGCTTTGTACTTATTTTTAATGTTTATTAGTAATTTTATTTCTAGTAAAATAAAAGGTGAAATAAAAGCCTTAAAAGGCTAAAACGATAGAATATTATGGTTATTATGGCTTATTGAACAATATATAGTAGTCACGCTAAAATTTAAAATCAATCAGGTTACTAATCATCACATGGTTAAATATGAGAAATGTATTTTGTATAATGCTTTTAAATGAACTGTCATGTGATAAATTATTCATTGAATAGAAATATTTTTTATATAGATATATATACATTTCATTAATTTACATCATCGCATTGTCCATTAATGTGGATAATGTGTAAAACAACCAATAGCTTTAAAGTTGTGGACCATTTGTAAACAAATACCTATTTTGTTAATATCAATTATTCATGTTTTGTAGATAATGTATTTAAAAACAGTTATCTTGTAAATGTTTTGTAGATAATGTATTTAAAAACAGTTATCTTGTAAATTGCAATTGTATGGGTAAGGCTACAAGTAATATGAGTAACATGTTTAATATCACATACCTATCTTGTAAAGGGTAATTAGAGAATGGGTATTATGAGTACATATTTGTGCAACCATTAGGTTTATACTTAATTTTTTGTTATTTCAAAAATTAAAAACATAAGCTGATAATTTTTATTTTAGGGAGATAAAGGTATATCTGGAAGTGATGGAGAACCTGGAGAGTTGGTTTGTGTTGATCTTGTTTTTATGTTCTATATTTTCTATAAAAACAATTAAAAAAACATTTTTTGTTATTTTTAAAGCATTTCTTTATATAAAGGTTTATTGGTACAATTATTATTTTTAGGGCCAAGTTGGTGATGATGGTGATCCTGGAGAGCCAGGTGCTATGGTACATAAAACATGCATTTTCAAATTTTTCAATATAATTACCATGTTTTTTATTATATCATATTCAATATAATTTGTTCAATATAATTACCATGTTTTATATTATATATATTTAATATAATTTCTATAAAAACTTTTATGAAAGGAACATATTAATACCTAACAGATGTTTGTATTTGTGAGTACACAATTCATGAGCCAATAGTTTTTGTATGTGTCAAATATTGTTACTAATTCAAAATTTATTCCATAAATCAACATCTTCATTTGTAATAGTAGAAAAATGTTTTAGGTGATAACTGGTTAACATTTATTTTAGGTGATAAATGAATAATATTTTTTTTATATTTATAAAAAATTTGGGTTGCTAAACAATAATTTAAAAATCAATAATAAAAATTTCATCAATGAAAAGGTTTTGGCCTTAAAATTAACATATTCCAATATATTACTGTGTACCAAATTTATACGATGTCATAGAAATGACCAATAGGCTTCTTTTTTTTTTTTTTCTTTTTTTTTTCAGAACTGAAATGTTAAGTTTGTTGAAGAAATTCAAAATAATAAAGTTATGCCTAATAAAACTTTTTTGTTATTACCTAAGCCTAAAAGAAATTTTAAAGAAATTCAGCAAAATAATATAACTATTTACATAATTCACTTTTTTTTTAATCATATATTTTAATGTTTATAATTTTTTAATTATAATTATAACACTTATTGGTTGTTTGTTATAAGAATTTCATACATAACTTTTTATAGCAAATGGCTAATATTTACAAACTTTGTCTACAACAGAATGTGTAAATTTTTGTTACATGCATGGTGAACATTTTTGTGATAGAAACACAATCACCTCTTATGAAAGCAGCATTATTTTTGGTATGAAGTTGAGAAACTATGGTAATGATCTTGTTCATTTACACCATGAGAATAACTTAAAAATAAAAAATTGTATATGGTTTTTGCTGTGTTTATGGTTTGACAGAAGCATACAGATCACTGTTACTTTGCTTGATTCAAACTCTAAAAGCAGGTTAATTAAAAGACAACAGTTAAATATACAGTTCTTCTATCTGCTATTTTTCTTATTCTATATTCAGGTAGTTTACTAGTTACCAGAAGTATTCCGCATACCATGTGTGATAATAAACAGCACCAAGTCTAGCAGATTTAAGTTATTTCATTCCAGATATTGACTCACCAAAGGAATAGGCTAAATTAGAATTTTCTTGATTTCAATATCAGGTTCTGATTTTACACAGAATCTTGTTGTTTGCTGAGATGTAAATAGCTTGATAAAATTTTTAAGTTTGGTCCCAAATCCAATTAAATTGGTAGTATTTATAGTACTCCAAGCTTGGTTTAAACCTGTGTTATTGTTAACAATGGTAACTTTTAAATTCAATTTCTGTTGGTCATACAGTTTATATAATAGAGATTTATTACCTTTAATTTTATACCTTTGATTTATTACCTTTAATTAATCAAACATGCTGAACATAAGTTGACAAATCTGGCAAATTTTAAAGATTATTTTTTAACACAGTTATTTTGGATATGGAACTTTTGCAATCCTTAAAAAAATGTGACAAAGAATGTTTACTATTAAAACCAAACTTGAACTAGAAAAATAAATTTAATAGCAAGTATAGAAGGTAATAGAAAAAAAAACAAATGCTAATATTTAATTTAGTGTGGATAAACATAGCATTCAAAACTTAACATAGCATTTAACTTAAAGCAATTAGACTGTAAATACTTATTAAAATGTTAAAAAACCAAGTAATGAAGCAGTTGTTTTCTGATTCTAATAAGACAGCTATTTCAACAACAAATGTTGTTTTATTTTTGAAATTAAACATCATTTTACTGTGTCGACCATTTCAAAAATGAAATTAGATTTTAATTTTGGTTCACTAAAACTAAAAGTCAATCTATAGTAAAAAGTATTCCAATCCTATTTCTATAAATGTTTTAACTTATATTTCAGTTTATTCAATCCATTCTATAACCTATCGCTTATTTATAAATTATATGTTTTATGTAAAGTTATATGTAAAAGTTTTATATTAAAGTTTTATATAAAATTATATGTAAAATTTTTATAGAAATCAATTGTATAAATAGTTAAGTGGCATCATTGTATGTAGTTTTCATCTTATTTACACATGCAGGGATTACCGGGAATAAAAGGTGAGCAAGGAAACATTGGTCCTGAAGGTATTATGGTGAGAAATTAATTCAGTGTGCTTATTGTATTAAATTGTTAAAAAATTATTATTAAGTATATAGTTATGATATACAATCAGAGCCTTCGACAAATAAAATAAGGAGAGGGGTGACTCCTCAAAAAGTAGTGACTAGCTTATTATTAAAAAAAAAAAAAAAGGACCTCAAAACGAAAATTTAACAGACTAAAAGGTGTCAAATAGCCAACTATCCCAAAATGACAAGTGTCAAATAGCTGACTAGCCACCACCCCCCACCCTGTATAATCGCCTCTGTATGTAACAACAACAACAAAATTTAAAAACTTTTAAACAAAAGGCTTCTAGAATTGCTATTTGTATGTATTTATTATTTCATATTTATTATTGTATATGTTTATTAGTTCATATTTATCAGTTTATTAAAAGGATATCAATGTTTATCATTTTGTGCCCTGTATCTAGGGATTTGCTGGGATACCAGGTGACATTGGTGCTGTTGGTCTAGAAGGAATTCAAGTAATATATGTTTGAATAGTAGATATACTATAGAATTGTATATAAATATTTAATATAATATATATTTTTTTATAAATAAATTTTCATCTAAGTTTTTTTTTGTTTATAAAAAAAGAATGTTGTTTATAGTATAAGCATGTTGTTTATAATAAAAGAATGTGCGTACAAATTTCAAACAGCACGTATTTAGTATATAAATCATTAATAAAATTTTTTTTAAATTTAGGGACCTCCAGGATTGCAAGGAATAATTGGACAAGATGGAGATGTTGGATTACCAGTATTTAACTTAATTTCAATTTTCATTTGTTTTTGTAAATTTATTATTTTTAAAAATTAAAATATAACTTTGTGGTCAGAGTAAAGTCATATGTATAAATTATCAAACATTTAATAATCAAGTAAAATAGTTATACTTTTAGTTTTTGAAATGTCTGAGATAGGCAAGACACAGCATGAAAATGTGTAAAACCCATAGTTAGCATCCTACCCTAATCATTTACATAGTTTAAAATGAGATTTACACAATTTAAAATTTTGGGATTAAATTCTGAACGATGTTTTTGTCAATAATTTCTACACTAGAGATTGAAATAATGATTTTTTATTCATAGTTTATTGTTGACTTAACAAGTAGTAATATTTTATATTTAAATTCCAATTTATGTTTTAAAAATCTTTTTTTTTTTTTATGTTTTTAAATAAATACTTTTAAAATTTGTTTTCAATAATTAGGGAGATAAAGGAAGACGAGGAGATAAAGGAAAAAAAGGCATAAGGGGAAAACAGGTTTTTTGTTTCTTTGACTCTTTATTTCTTTGACTTTGACTTTCTTTTTTTTTTGTTTCTTTTAGTTTTATGTTATCAATTTTGTTGTCGTTAATATCTTAATTGATTTTTTTAAATTAATTTTTATTAAGGGAGATATTGGTTTACCTGGTGAAATTGGTAGTATAGGGCATCCTGGTGAAAAAGTAAGATTTATTGAGTAATGAAATTTTTAAATGTTGCTTTACTTTTATGTTGTTTTTATTTTCAAATAATTGTCATTCAATAATTTTAGGGTATTGTCTTACTTTTGGTCAATACTTTGGTGTTGTTTTAATTTTTTATTAGAGTGTTGTTACATTTTTAAATGATTCAATGTTATTATTTTACGTTCAATTAAAATTAGGGTGTTATTTTACTTCAATTAATATTAGGGTGTTGCTGGTGAACCAGGTGATCAAGGTACTCCAGGCAAAAAAGGAAGAATGGTATAACTATATTTTTGTTTAATTATTATTATTTTTTTTTTAAATTTAAAAATCTATCAAGATATTGCTTTTTATAGGGTAACATAGGAAAACCTGGTCCTGATGGTCCTCAAGGACTTGTTGGGTTTCCAGTAAGTCTGTTATTTATTAATAAAAAAATTTGTTGTCATATTTTTCAAGTTTTTGATTTTTAAAAGTGATATTATCTTTGTTTATTTATTTTTAAAGGGGAAAAAAGGTAAATCTGGAAAAAAAGGTTTTCCTGGCCAACCAGGGCAGAATGTTAGTATTTTTATCAAGTTAAAATGTATGTTTTAAATTTTGTGTACCAAGTTGTTAAACTATATCAGCTAATAACAGTTTCAAATTATAAAAAATTTAGGGTTTGCAAGGGGTTAGTGGTATAAATGGAATTCCTGGTGCAAAAGGCATTCAAGTAAGTTAATTTCAATTATAAGTTAAAAGTACTTAAATATATATATATATATATATATATATATATATATATATATATATATATATATATATAAAATTCTGATTAAATTCTTGTTGTTGTTTAAAAACTTGTTGTGATTCTAAGATTTTTTAAAGTTTAAAGCAGTCAAGCTGTTGGTCTGTGAAAGTTGAAAATAATTGATCCAAAACTTCTTTAACCTATTTTATAGCCTATACTGTTTGCTTGATATTAAAGGTATTTTGCAAAGAATTATCTAACAAAAAGGTGCAGATAAAATAAAAATTTACTGAGGTTTTGATAATGTATGACATATTTATGATTTTCATATATATTTTGACAGATATATGAGAATCAAACATATATACGAAAATCAAACATATATGACAATCAAACATATATGACAAGTTTTTATTATTTTTTATATGCTATCTAAAACAATAATTTACTCCAAAAAAGGGTTATTTATCAATGAGATTTTTTTATTTATCAATGAAACTTTTGGTGATGATGGTAATGACTCTTAACTCTATAATTCTTTATCAGTTTTTCTTGTTATTTATTATTCAAGTTAAAAGAAGTAAGAATTTACCTTATCTTATTTTCCATCAACTAGGGTACAACTGGGGCACCTGGTCTACCAGGTTTAAGTCCATCAGGAAGAAAGGTATTTTATCTATTATAAGTTTACTTTGAAATAACTTAGTTTCATTTTTATTTATGTAATTTAATTATTTAGGGAGAAAAAGGTGATCAAGGTTTAACAGGCTCAAAAGGAGTGCCTGGTCGAAAGGTTAGAATTAAATTATAAAAAATGTAAATGATGTTATTAATTCTTATTAAGAATTTATTTTGATTTTATTATTATTATTTATTCATCATTGATATTTAACAACATTGTGTAATAAAGGGTGATTTTGGAGATAGTCCAAGAGGTACCAAAGGAGTTGCTGGACTTGTGGTAAGTTTTTTTGCGTTTTTTATTATATAAATTACATAAAGTCATGTAGTTGCATTATATTATATTGTATGTTTTTATAACTATTTTATTTATACTTTTTTAAAATGCATATTTTTTTTATTTACAAAATAATATATTTTGTGTATGTTTGGGGAGGGGGTGGGAGAGGTGTAGTTGTGTAAATAGAACAGTGAGTTGAATATTCAACTTGAATATTAGATGAGTGTCGAGTTGGAATGTTAGTTGAAACTTATATTGGTTGAACCAACCAAGAACAACTTGGTTGGTTTATTAAAATAACTTTGTTGGATTTACTAAAACAACTGGGTTGGTTTACTTAAACAACATGTTGGAAAGAATTTAAATTAAGAGGTTTAGTTTAATTAAATGGTTTATTTAAAAAGTTTAGCACAACTCTATATAACTTTACATTTTTGTAAATATATAACTTTACAGAAATGCTTCAAAATTTTTGTAAACATTGAATTAATGTATGCTTGTATGCAATTGCTTAAACATGGTGGATTATAATTGGGTGTGTATGCTTTTAGAAGCAGAGAAGTATAAAGGTTTTATTATTGCTATTACAAAAAAATACACTTTAAACATGAAAAGGTTTATATTGAATCAAGTCGAAACATTTGAGAAAAAAGCAGATCAATGTTTGTGTCGTTTTGTAGACAGATAGTAGTTATTAAGAAAAACGCTGTTGAATTTTTTTTAAAAGATTGTTGTATATGTTTTTGAAAAGGTTGTTGTATATGTTTTTTAAAAAAGTGTTGTATATGTTTTTTAAAAAAGTGTTGTATATGTTTTTTAAGAGTGTTGTATATGTTTTTTAAGAGTGTTGTATATGTTTTTTAAACATTTTTTAAACTCTTATTACTTCTTTTTACAATTTTAAATTATTTTATTATGTAATTATTATTTTATTTTTTAATTATTATTTTATTATGTAATTGTTATTTTATTATGTAATTATTATTTGATTATGTAATTATTATTTGATTATGTAATCATTATTTTACTATGTAATTATTATTTGATTATGTAAATATTATTTTATTATGTAATTATTATTTTTTTATGTAATTATTATTTTATTATGTAATTATAAATATTATTTAGCATTTTTTTAGTGTGTTAATAATGAAATTTTTAAATCTTTTATATATGCTTTATTAATTTGTTTTATTTATCATAAACATTTTTAATTTGTTTTATTTATTATAAACATTTTTAATTTGTTTTATTTATTATAAACATTTTAAAAATAAATTTTATTTAATTTTTTATTAGGGAATCCGTGGAGATAGCGGGTCATCAGGAGAAAAAGGAGATATGGGTGCTAAGGTATGAAGGCAAAAATATTGAATGGATAAATAAAAATGCTTTTTTTTTTTTATCTCTATAAGATTAGTGGTTACATTGACTAACAAAGATTTTGCTTTAGAAAAAAACAATCCATTTTAGTTTAGTAAATGTGAATCCAGACAAAGGTGCTTGGTTTTGTCATGAAACGTCACATTTACATGTTTTTGTATGTTTTCGTTGTTTTATAGGTTATATATGTTACAAAGTATAAATTTATAATAAAATAATGTATGAATAAAAATATTTAAAATTTTTTGAGAAAAATTTTTAAATGATTTTAATTTCATTTTTTAAGTCAACACTGATTATAAATATTTAATTAGGGCCAAAAGGGTGACAAAGGCAATAATGGTGAAATTGGTGATAAAGGAACTGATGTAAGTAAATGCTCGCATTCAAAAAAAGATTTCAAATGTTTTTTTAAAGTTGAATTAAAATTGTTGTATTAATAAATTGTGAGCAATAATTTATAATATTATTCTAGTTTTAAAAATTTATCAAAGTTAATACCTTTAATTTATGCTCTATATATTTATATAGGTTATAAAATTTAATTTTATACCTTTAGTTGTAACATTTTTCATTTAATATTGTTAGGGTCTGCCTGGAGATATTGGTATCCCTGGGAGTAATGGAAAAACTGGAGAACAAGTAAAAATTTCCAATATTTTGTTTTATTCAAATATTCCAGTGTTTATACAAAGTGAAAAATTTAAAAACTTTGTTTATCATTGGAATTAAATACTAAAGAATTCAATTTCTGTGTTTTATCCATGAGGCCTTTAATATGCTTACTAATATAGTGAAATTAAATAACTTATGAATTTATATTCTTAGGAAACATCAGAACTCTATAAATAGAGATAAGACCGGGCTGGGCAAGGCAACTACAACCAATTACAATTTATATTATTTCAAAGTATATTTTATTACTCTACTTATGTTTAGCATAGAAGACATAGGCAGTAAAAATATATATCTTTTGCTGTACAATTATATAAAAAATATTTATTTAAAAGCATCCAGTCATAATTCTTTCAAAATGATTTTGAATGGAGTAAATCAACATAATAATAATTTCTGTTTTATATTTAACTTAAATTAAATATCTTTGTTAAAATTAGATCAAGATAATAACTGCAACTGTTGTTTGAAATAAAAATAAGTGTTTGAAATAAAAATAAGTGTTTATAGAAATTTTTAAAATTTAACTGAAGCAAGTTCTTTTACAGCCCATTATGTCAGTTTAAGATAGGTTTGTTTTTGGAAAAAGTAAAATACTTTCTTTTTTTGAAAGAATAAATTTTTAAAAAAGGTTTATTTTTGGATAACTTAAGTTACTATAAAATGAGTAGATAACCTGTGATATTTTATACTTTTTAAAAATTCTTTCTTATTTTATAAATATTACTAGCAGACCGGACCCGTATAAATATGGGTCTTTGTAAGTTTATTCCACACAGACCTTTTCTATATTTTTTCTTTATATATATCCTAGTTTTCCAGTTCCATAAAATATGGATCATTACCAAACCTACCCTTTTTATACTTGTCTATTCCAAACCGATCATTTCTATACCTATGCCTTATTTACTTCAATATTTTTTAAGAAAATAGTTCATGTGCACCTTTTCACAAAAATTGTGCACCTTTTCTGCATATTTGAGCTTATAAGAGATTTATAATTAGGTTTGTTTTTCTTCGAAACGCATATCATTGATAGCTCAGTTGTTTTGTGCGCTGTCGTCAGTATCATTTCAGGGGGTTCAAGACCTCCCCTTAGCATAATAAATTTTGAAAATTTTTTCAATCTTGCTCATATATTTATAGCAAAAAAAATATATATATATAGCAAAAAGATTTCTAATTGTTAAAATAAAATTTAAAAGTTTTATCATTTTATATATTTATTATACACAGTTGTTCCATATACTGTCTGTAAACTCAGCATATGCTAAAGACATTTACACTTACAGACATTTGTACGTAACTCTATACAACTGGCAGAACTAAGAAGATCTTAAACCATTAAATACTATATAAATTCTATAGTATTTAATGGTTTAAGATCTTCTTAGTTCTGCCAGTTGTATAGGGTTATGTACAAATGTACGCTTCTAAGAAGCGTCCTTAGCTATAAAATGCTAATCTAAAAGTTAAACCAAAAAAATTTTGTGCAGTGATGTCAGTTTTTAGCATAAAAAACTTTTATACAACGAGTTTGCCTTTGTATTTATCTGATTAATTTTAATTATAGTGCATACAATTGCACAAAAAGATATAAACTGGTACAGATATATAATTTCACGGATAAGAGTTTGTATTTATTACAATAGTATTAAATAAATATTTTTAAAGAAATAACATAGTAATTACTATATTTAGAATATATCCTATAAAAATATGTTCTCTATATTTTTATGGGATATATTCCTGGAAAAAGGAATTTTCCTTAAAAATTTAAATAAAAAATTTCTAGATTTGTTCTTAATTTTTTGCCACAAAGTGACACGTCACATATGCAAAAGCATTTTGGGTTCAACAATTTAGGAAAAAGCCGCATCTATCATTTTTAATCGTCAAAGAAGATTATGTATTTTTAGCAATCAGATATATATATTAAGAAGAATATATATATTAAGAGAGATATATATTAAGAAGAATATATATATTAAGAGACGGGTAAATCTAAAATTGAATTTTTAAATTTTCTGCTTGGATAAGACAATATGTTTTATGTTTTTTCAATCTTGTCAATTTTTTTAAAAACAACAACAAAAGTGCAAAAATTCAAAGCAGAACAGCTTAAGCAAAGCTTATAAAAAAGTTTTGTAAGAGTTCAAATCCGCCCCTTTGCACAATATATTTTCAATTTTTTTAATCTGGCCATATATATTTATACCAAAAAGAAAAAATATTGCAAAAAAGACTTTTAATTGTTAAAATAAATATGAAAATTTTTCTAGCTATGGGCTTTTTTTATTATTTTTTATTTTACCTCCACAGCATCACCTTCAGGAGTAGCAGGACTGTCCTATTAAATTTTTTCTTTATTAAGTTTCAGTCCATTTTTTTTTCACACCAACAATAGCTTATTAGGACTAATTACCTAAGCACAATTATAACATAAGTATTTCAATCATGACTATGTTTTGGCATGATAATGATACTATGTTTAATAAGTATAAATGTTTACTTTTGTTAAGGTTTTCCTAGCCAGCAAATTTCTTCCAGTGTTTTGATGTTTTTAGAATTTTTAACTTTTTTAAAAATTCTTTCGTTTGTTATAGCATATAATATTTTTACATACGTTATGTATATAACATCTATAAAACTTCAAAATTGTTTTATTTTGTTTTTAAAAAAAATCAAAAAAGATTTAAGTCGCCTGTGATTTAAACCATGGCTTTTTTGTTCAAAAGCTTTGTGAGCATTATAATATGATACACTAATAAGTCTCTTTATAAGTTTTAAATCTTTAAGTTTCTATATACAAAGAACATTCAGTATTATGATTTAAATAATTATTTGCTCTCAATATATACTTTTATTAAATATATTTTTTAGGGAAAAATGGGTGAAAGTGGAAAAAAAGGTCAAAAAGGAAATCCAGGGGAAACGGTATAAAGAATTAAATATACTTATTAGTTTATACTATTTTGAATTATTTTTATTTTCTTACTCTATTATTGATTTCAAGGGACTTTTTGGAATACCTGGTAAAGATGGAATTGATGGACAAATGGGTGAAGATGTAAGTAAATATATAAACACACTCACACATTTGGTCAAATAAGGTATTATAAAGAAAAATATCATTTTAAAGGATTCATTTAAATAATAGTATAAATTATATTTTTGCAAATATATACTGCACAAAAACAAATAATAAAGTTTAAAAATTGCATGTTTTTTTATAATTTTAATTTAATTACTATTTTATTTAAATTAATATTAATTTAATATAATTTTAAATAATATTTATAATAAGATTATAATTATAATAAATAAAATTATAAGAAATATAAATTTTAATTTAATTAAATTTCTCATTAGTGCTGCATTTCCTTCCTGAATTTTTTAAAAATTTTACAAGCTATTTTTAGTGTTTTGCAATCCAGTATTGATTACATCTTTAATATGGCTTAGTTTTTGTGATTGTGGTGGCTGAGCCAACTGCTCAATAGAATGACACATATTACAGAGAAGCTATATATATGTTTATGTGATATATGTTTGGAGTCATTAACTTGTTGAAAGATATATGAATGTAAATTAGGACTTTTATTAAAAAAATTTACAAACCAGTACCATAATATAATTTAATTAGAATTTAAAAATAGTTCAAAAAAAATTTTTAAATAGTTTCAAAGATACCAATCCTAATATTTCTGGTTGGGAATAGACTTTTCACTAAATCTAACAAGTTTCATGCTCATTTATTTCTGGTTTTGTCTCCAAAAGGTTCTGAAATGAAATGCAGCACTAATGAGATCTGTCTTTTATTATTTATTATTGGCTACTACTCTCCACCACTAAATGTTTTGTATTTGCCTTTTTTTTTTTTACCCTTATTTTTCTTCTAATCAAAACAATTAATTTTTTTCTATGTAATTAATAATATATATATATATATATATATATATATATATATATATATATATATATATATATATATACATATATATATATGATATATATATATATATGATGTATATATATGATATATATATATATATATATATATATATATATATATATATATATATATATATATATATATATATATATATATATATATATATATATATATATATATATATATATATATACTTTGTTGTTTATTTCAGACATTTATTTTAGCATGTAATAAAAAAAATTAACATTTTTATGCAATTTTAAAATTGAATAATAAATATCAACTAATAAGTATCAAGATATACTTATTAAGAAAATTTAATAAATTTGTATAGCTTATTTATTCAATTTAATAAATTTGTATAGCTTATTTATTTAATTTAATAAATTTGTATAGCTTAGTTATTTAATTTAATAAATTTGTATAGCTTATTTATTTAATTTAATGAATTTGTATAGCTTATTTATTTAATTTAATAAATTTGTATAGCTTATTTATTTAATTTAATAGATTTGTATAGCTTATTTATTTAATTTAATAAATTTGTATAGCTTATTTTGTTTGTATTTTTCACAGTGATAAATAATTTTTATATGTTGTACAAAGTATATGCAAATATAATTGTTTTTTTTTTAATTCTTTATCTTTATTTAACTCTTTATTTTGAAGGGTCCTGATGGATCTAAAGGAGTCAAAGGAGAAATTGGAATGCCTGGTTTAGATGGCCAACCTGGTAAACAAGGTTTACCTGGAAATAATGGTTTACCTGGTATAAAGGTATTATTGTAGTTTTTTTTTTTTTTTTCTTTTAATGGCAACTTATTTTAGGCTTACAAATATTTGGGGGGGGGGGGGTGAAACTTTTTTTGCTATTTATGCCTAATGTTTATAGTTGTCTTTTGCAGGGATAGAAATTCCCAAAAAGACTCAGCATTCTAGAGTCAAATATTCATTATTTTTAACCATTTTCTGTTGTCTTCAAAAATCTTTGACTTAAAATTTTTTTGATGTCTAAACCATTTTTGGTATTGTGTTTATTGTTGTATATTGTATAATGTATGTTGATTAATAGTTCTTCATTTTTATTTGTTTATTTTGATTATTATTTACTTTTAATTGTTTATTTTGGTTAATACTTATTTACTTTTTATTATTTTTTGTAACTAATAATTCTTTACTTTTAATTGTTTATTGTAACTAATAATTCTTTACTTTTAATTGTTTAATTTTAAAATGTTTCTTCAGGGTCCTGTAGGAGAAATGGGACCACCTGGTTTGCAAGGTGGTATTGGACCTATGGTATATATTATGTTTTAATTTTAAGCTTTTTTAAAGCAGATTTTTAATTTGAGTGTTATTTCTTGTAAATGTGGTAAATTAACTGACCTACGGAAGTTTTATAAACTTCTGTAATAGAAAATTACAAATTCACTCATTTAACAAATGTTTTTTGTTAAACTTTTTTTTCTTTGTTTTTTGTCATAAGTCAACTGTTTACATTTACTTTTTTTTTTTTAAATGATTTAATTATTTGCACTGAATCTCTATGTTTTATTATACAGGGAGAGGAAGGTCCACCTGGTTTTGCAGATGGTATTGAAATATCTGATACAATGGTAAAATTTTTTAATAAATAATATTTAAAAAAACAAACATAAAATATGAAAACATTTGTGTATGTTTAGTTTATATGATTTATAACTTATTATTTTTGGAAATAATTGATTAAAAATATAAAAAAAGTTCTTCTCTGGGAGCCGAATCTTTTTGATCAAAGTTGAATTTGTTATTAATCTTTTTATTTTTTTTATTAATGCAGTACTTCTTGTTCAAAAGTGGATAAAAACTAAAAATTTATTTAAGTCTTGATTAAAATAAAGCTTTTTATTAACACTTAAAACGAACAAAAATATACAAAATAAAAAAAAAGAACAACAAAGATATACAAAAAAAAGGGTATTCTTTTATTGTTACAATTTTTTTATTAATAGTATTATTATAACCATCTTTTTTTATTACACTTTAACCATCTTTTTTTATTGTTAAACTTTAATCATCTTTTATTGTTAGTAGTAAAAGTTGTTATATATATATATATATATATATATATATATATATATATATATATATATATATATATATATATATATATATATATATATATATATATATATAATGATAACTATGTAACTAATACAAACTATGTAAATTAGTAATAAACTAATCTGGAAAATTTAAAGAAAATTTGTTTACACAATTTTCCGTTTTGAAAGCTAAAGTAGTAAAAGTTGTTACTATAGTAACAATTGTTACTTTACTTTTCTAAGAATAAAAATATATTATTTGTCTTTTTATCTAGGATAAGATTAGTTTTACTGGAACTCGATCTGGTAATGTTGGTGTGAAAGGCTCCCAGGTTTTGAAATATTTTCGTCTTGCAATATTATTTATCCAAGTTTTTATATATATAAACTTATCAAAAATACATGTTTAATTTTTTTGAAAAAAAGCTTAAATGTGCGTTTAGATAACATCTCTGACATTGAACTGCCAGGGACTTCAATACATACATGGATTGTCTAATTTAGATTATTCTAAAATGTCCTAAATTTTACTCTTATTTTTCATGAAAAGTCAAAGAACATAAAAGTTGTCCCAAAATTATAAAATTTCAACCTATTTTAGAAGTGGGAGGTCTGTAGTTGTCTGACAACTTTGAGAGATATGCATTAAATAGATGTTTTCCTTTTTCTTGTTCTCTTTTTCATAAACAACTTTTGATATATCAAATAATTTTATTTTTTATAATTTCAGAGACAAACTAACAAATTTTTCAAAAAAATTTTATGCCTAGGGAGATGATGGTGAACCTGGATTAATTGGACCTCCTGGATATACTGGCTTAGAAGTAATTTTTGCGTTGATAGTTTTTTTTTGAGTGCTTTTAATATATTCCTGAATTAAAAAAGTTATAATTATTATATAATTATAATAAAATATAAAAGACATAAATTTTAGTTTTAAATTTTGCACTTTTGTATTTGAGTTTTATGGAAATTTAAAATTTTTCTTACTTTTTTATCGTTGCTGAAGTTTCTTTATAAATAAAAATCTGATATTAGTGTTATTAGTAATATCTGTTAATTAAATCTGTTGTTAATTTATTTATTTATATATAACTTAATAAAACTTTTTTTTTATAATTATTTTTTATTGTTAATTTTAAATAGGGAGACCCAGGTGAACCAGGACCACAGGGTCCTATGGGAGAAAATGGAAATCAGGTAAGGAAATTCCTGCAGTTTTTGTAATTTTATTTGAAACAATACATTTTTTATAAACTTATAATTTTTTAAATTGATATAAATATTTTTTATTACAAGTTTTAATTATTTAATTTATTATTAATTTTAATTATTAATTATTTATATAACATTTATTTTTATTAGATTTATGAACAAAATTTATTTGAAATTCAAATTTATTTAAAACTTTTTTTGTAAAGTTTTTATAATATAATTGCATATTTATTCTAATAATTTACAAAAGATTTTTTTTTTTTTTTTTTATCAATTTAATTCCTCAAAGCTCCTGGGTCACAACAGTTGAGAAGGCTCTTTTCTTTATTGAAACCCATTAGGTTAGATTAGAAATCTTCAACATAGCAGTTATGTCTTTTACGTCAATTATGGTCACTTAAAAATAATGATTAGTGAAGTTTATGCTTTAAATTATTAAATATTAAAAAATTTTATGTTTTTTCCTTCTAAATTTGAACATCAAAATCTCTTTGAAAAATAATAAGCTAATATGTTCATGTTTTTAAAATTTTTTTTTCACTGTATAATTTTCAATTATTTTTTTATTTATTTTTAATTTTTTTTTTTTTTTTTGCATTTAATAGTTTAACAGCAACTTATACAAAAGTTGGTTTTTAAATTATTTTTTTTATCTTTTTAGGGCTTACAAGGTGAAAATGTGAGTTCTTTGTTTATTTTGATTTTTTTTATATACATTTGTTTACTTTTTGGTTACATTAAATTTAATTCAATGTATTAAAGTTTAAATTAATTTCAAAAATCTTTAGGGAGAAAAAGGTGACGAGGTAATTATTAAAAATATAAAAAAGGTGACGAGGTAATTATTATAAATATAAAAAAGGTGATGAGGTAATTATTAACAATATAAGTAGTATTGTGTGTTTTTTAATCTTATGTATTTTTAATCTATATACTTATTTATTTTTTTAGTAAGTTTGAAACATCATAATTATATTTTAATAACTAAATCTAACTTGTGTTTTTAAGACTTTTTTTTTGTTTTAAAGGGAGATGAAGGTTTTCAAGTAAGTAATTTTTATTTATATTGTGCAATATATACTCTGTAATATTATATGCAATATGACTCTATAATAATGTATTGTATTCAATATATTGTACTCTGTAATAATGTATTTTATGCAATATATCATACTCTGTAATAATGTATTGTGTGTTAACTATGTTGAAATGGTCTTATATTTTTTTGGTCCTTAATTTTATCTATAAATGTCCTAGTTTATTTATCTTCCTTTTTTAATTTTTTTTATGCTTATAAAGGCCATTATATTTTATGGCCTTCAAAAATTTACAGCTCCTTATCCTTCTAATTTTTTGAATTTGCAAAATTTATGTAATCTTCAACTTGTTTTAGCTACATTACTCACAGTTGTTCTATTGCTTATATTTAGGGCTTTTTGAAACATGTAAGCTATGATAATTATATTAATCAATGAGATTTTTTTGCCTTGTATACACTGTAAATATTTAAAAAAGTTTTATTGTATAGAAAAACATTCAAATCAGTAAAAAAGTAGAACAAGTCAAGGAGTTCTCATACATTGTCAAAAAAATATTTTTAACAGCACAAAAATTATTATGTTTAAAAAACTTTTTGTTTACTTTTTTTGTCCTAAGACAGTGGAGTTGAGCCAGATAGAGATTGCAGTGGGTATTGAAGTAATGCTTGCCATTTTCATTCAGAATTCACTATTTCTTGTTCTCCCATCAATAACTAATCTTGTTTTATAATAAAATATTTTTGATATAAATGTTTCATTTCTGCCCACCATAAACAACGTATTGTTATTGCACAGTACTTTTGTCTACATCACCACATGTCTTTTTGTTTACATCACCACATGTCTTTTGTTTACATCACCACATGTCTTTTGTCTACATCACCATATGTCTTTTGTCTACATCACCACATGTCTTTTTGTCTACATCACCACATGTCTTTTTGTAGTGTACACCCATTTATACACAACACTACAACACCTTTGTAAGTTGTATGTTTGTACAGTTTGAGCAGCTTTTTTACAGCTTAATCATCACACACGGTGTATCTTTGTATTCATTTTGATGCAACTAAAGTTATTAAATAAAAATTTTAATAAAAATACTTGATTGAAAAGATGTTTTAATGATTCATCCTCAGTGGCAAGATTTTTTAGAAATATTTCTACTCATTTGATTGTAACAAACCAGTAAAACACTTTTCCAGAACTGGAAAAAGTGCTAGGTTATCAAAATCTAATTGTTGACTTAATCTACAGTAGCCTTACTAGTGACTCCAGATTTGAAACAACCAATCCTTTTACACAATATTTTCCTGATCCAGTATATTTGTTTGTTGTAAACTTAGTTTCCTCTATATATAGTTGCAATGTTAGTTTTAAACATATCCAGTTGTAAAGTTAGTTTCCAGTATACCCAGTTACAAAGTTAGTTTCCAGTATATCCAGTTGTAAAGTTAGTTTTAGGGAACTAGTAGTAAAAGACCAAACTATTTTATAATTTTTTTTACTTTTTGTCTGAAATATTATCCATTGTTTATCATCAGATAAAATCTGAATATAAAATAAATCAAAGTAATAACATAAGGGAGATGGAGGAGGTTCATCTCCCTAAGTGACTTATTCTAAAGCTTATGTAGCAACATCATTTCCATATTCTTTTTTTTTTTTGTATCAAGGAATATAGAAAAATTAAAAAAGCTGTTAGTGGGTACTACTTTTTGGTCTCTTAAACAAAAATATCCGGACTAATATTTACTAACCCCGATTTGCAGACTTAAAATATGGCTATGTCACGGAAGTTAAAGCAGTGAATGCTTTATTTGCAAAGAATTGTTGATTAGAATTTAGTTAAAAAAAAAATTTGACAGGATCTTTTGCCTCAAATTTTTTTTCATCTCTATTTTATGTTTGTTATTGTTTTATTTTTTTTATCTTTATTGTATCTTTATTATTCTATTTGTTTGTTTGTTTTCTGTAAAATTGCTTCATTAAGAGTTTTTTTTTTTTTTAATCATTAAATTTGTTGCATTTGCTTTTTTGGTGTTTGCTTGGTTCATTTTATGTTTTTTTTTTATTTTTTATCATTTTGTTTTGTTGTTTTTTAAGCTATTCTAGCCTTGTTCATTGTACAATAAAATTTGTTGTAATAAATGTACTTATAATTAAATATAATTAAATATTTTAAAAAGTGTAACTGTTAAATGAAGTTAATTAATTTAAATTTTAAAAAATTGTTTTTATTTGTATATATTTTCTAATATACTTTGCATATCTTTAGGGTGAAATCGGAAATCCCGGAGAACCTGGTTTACCAGTGAGTTATAATTATTGATAGTTTAAAAATTGTTGTTAAATAGATAAAAATAAAATTATTTTTTTTAAGTATAGTTTATTTTGATTCGATTTTTTGCTAGGGACTTCCTGGTATTCCTCCTATTGAAAGTTTTATTGTAGGTTACTTTTTTTTGTTATTGTAGGTTATTTTATCTTAGTTCTTCAAATGTTCATTTTTTTAAGTTCTTGTTATTATCAAATAACATTAAAAAAATAAGTATGATAACATATTTAGCCCAGAAGTGCGTGGAATGAATACAATAAATAAGTATGATAATATATTTAGCCCAGAAGTGTGTGGAATGAATACAATAAATAAGTATGATAATATATTTAGCCCAGAAGTGCGTGGAATGAATACAATAAATAAGTATGATAATATATTTAGCCCAGAAGTGCGTGGAATGAATACAATAAAGATCCTGCTCGGTACTATGTAAGATTTTAACTGTTTATATTTATAAGTAATGTAAACTATTATATAGCTAACACCAAAAATAAATTTACTAAGTTTTAAAAACTTTTGCATTACATTTCACCATAAATGCTTATAATCAAAAAAAACAAAAAAAAAACAGTTATGTTTGTGTATAATTGGTATAATAATGTTTAGGGTAAAAGTAATTAAAAAAAAAACTTTTTAGCACATAGTTGCTGATCAGTATTTAACATACTTGGGCAACGAAATTGAAAGTATTAAACATCCTCATGGAACACAGGGAAACCCAGCAACAAATTGTAAAGAAATTTATGATAACGGAGGAAAGTTTCTCGATGGTAAGTTTTTTTTTTATGTTTTTGTTTTTTTAGTACTTTTAGTATACTAGAAATTTAACCTTATGTTGATAGATTTATGTGGATGTTGATAGATTTATGTGGATGTTGATAGATTTATGTGGATGTTGATAGATTTATGTGGATGTTGATAGATTTATGTGGATGTTGATAGATTTATGTGAATGTTGATAGATTTATGTGGATGTTGATAGATTTATGTGGATGTTGATAGATTTATGTGAATGTTGATAGATTTATGTGGATGTTGATAGATTTATGTGGATGTTGATAAATTTATGTGGATGTTGATAAATTTATGTGGATGTTGATTAGATTTATGTGAATGTTGATAAATTTATGTGGATGTTGATAGATGTGGATGTTGATAGATGTGGATGTTGATAGATTTATGTGGATGTTGATAAATTTATGTGGATGTTGATAAATTTATGTGGATGTTGATTAGATTTATGTGAATGTTGATAAATTTATGTGGATGTTGATAGATGTGGATGTTGATAGATGTGGATGTTGATAGATTTATGTGGATGTTGATAAATTTATGTGGATGTTGATAGATTTATTAGTTTGAAGAAGAATAAGTATACAAATGTTGTTTTTTTTTGTTTTGAATGTTTTTGTTGCTATTTTTTTTTTTTTTTTTTTTTTTTTTTTCATTCTCATGGTCATCAGAGGTTTTTACTCACATGGTGAAGTAATATGTACCTATGAGAAGTCTATAACTAATCGAAACTGTCACCATTTTAATGACCCAAAACTCTCATGATTTTGCTGACCAGAAATGCTCTAATTTTAATGACAGTTTTTAAACAGATGTAGTTATTACTTTTTAATACTTTCCGTTTTCTTTTTTTTTTAACTAGAATTTAAAATTTTCTTTGTATTTTTAAAGGTTACTATTGGGTGGATCCAACTCGAGGTTGTTCTTGGGATGAATTTCGAGTGTTTTGTAACTTTACAGCTGGCGGTGAAACTTGTATTATTAGCAACAAAACGGAGGTGAGTAAATTTTTTTAATCTTTAAAATATTTTGTTTACAAATGTTTAATCAATTTTTTCTATTTTATTTTATCAAAATATTTTCTATATAAATATATTGTAGAATATACTATAGATTTGTTAGATAGTTTAAATTTCATATGTTTATAATTGTAAGTTTAATTTGATTTACTTTATTATAATTTAAATATTTAGTTCACTATAAAACAAGATGCTAATGAACATCAAAATAATATTTCTCTTGCATCACTGCACGGGGAGGTTGTACTTTTATAATCTTCAATAAGTTGTTGTTTTTGTTTACGTAAATAAATTATTTTTTTATTTATGTAAATGTATACTTTTTTTATTTATGTGAATGCATCATTTTATTTTCAGATAATGTGTAAAAATAACATAATGGGTTATGAAAACTGGACTTGTTTAGTTATTTAATTTTATAATTGCATGCGTTTAATGAAAATTATAAAATAAATGTTTTTAACTTTGACCAGTGTAAAATATAACTCAGCTAGTAAGAAATAGTTCGACTTTAAAGCTTCTTAAAGCTGTACAAAAGCTTTATGAATTAGTCAAATTTTAGCTTATTATTTTAGTCTCAAATTTGTAGATGTGACCTAAATAAACAAATAAATATCTTATAAAAAACGAACAAAAGATTTTCATTTGTCATTTAGTTAATTTTTTTAAAATAAATTTTGAAAAGGTAACTAAATAAAGAAATTATACATATAAATATATATATATATATATATATATATATATATATATATATATATATATATATATATATATATATATATATATATATATATATATATATATATATATTATTTTTAAACAAGATTGCTTTTTATATTTTGTAATAACTTAAAAACTTTAATATTTAGTACCAATTTTTAAATATTTAAATCTGAAATGTTTAATAGTTTGCTACATAATTTATAAATTTGTATTACACATTTGCTTAGGTAAATTATGGTCTTCGTATACCACAGTTTAACTTTATCCGCTTATTAAGTTACAAAGTGCATCAAACTGTTACTTTACACTGTTTAAAAAGTTTTAAATTTTTGGATAATATTTATTTACATGGATGGAACAAAAAACGCTTTAATGCTGCTGACAAAAACCGCGTTACTGTTATTGAAAATACTTGCAATAATAGTGTAAGTTTATCAAATATTTATTGCTAGACTGGATATTTAGTGCTAGACTGGCTCCTCAGGAGGTCTTCAGCTAGAGACATAAAAAGCTACTTTAAGGGCCCTAAAAAAATTACGTTCTAAAAAATGCTAAGTCTTTTGAAGCCCTCCTTGAGGCTGACATAGGGCTCTTGGCGATCGCCAATGACCGCCCTGGACAGTCCCGGCTTTTAATAACATTTATAAATCTATAATGATGACGATGATGATGATGATTTTATTTAATTTTTCAGCCTGGAAAAATTGTTTTGCGAATCGCTACTGATATGGATTTGAAGGATTTACCCATAATTAATGTTTCTTTAAAACAAAGCGGCATAGAAACAATATTTCTTGGACAAGCATGTTTTTTATAACTTTAAAATCTAAAAACTGTTAATTAACGTATTTTCTGTATAAATGTTTTTATTTTTAAATTTTTATGTTATAAATAGATTTTAATAAATTGTTATATAAACTTTTTTTACAAAGTTATTTTATCTTTTACATAAATTATATTTTATAAAATTTTACATAAATTATATTTTATAAAATTTTACATAGATTATATTTTATTAACTAAGTTTTGTAATATATGCTGACTGTTATAAAAGCAGATTTTGTCCTCTATATAATTTATTTTTATCTCCGATATAATTTATTTTTTAGAAAACTTTTATTTTGTAATATATGTAAATTATTTTTTAAATATTTAAATTTTAAATAAACTTTAATGAAGCTGTTGTAAACTATACTATCATCCTATACGTCATTCTGCATGTATTTAATCCTATGTTTATGATCGGTGTAGCCCAAGTATCCGTTAATTTTTTTATTTACAATAGTTTTTTTATATAAAAATGAGTTTTTTTTAATAACAAATCTCCACTCTTTACATACATGATTTGTTGAATGTAAATGATGGAAAAATAAGGAAAATAAAGAAAAAGTGATAGTGAAAAGCTAAAACATGAAAAATGTAACATAATAAAAAAATGGTCAAACGAAATAAAAGAAAAATATTAAAAAGAATAAGATTATACTTGTTTGTATAAGAAATCTTCATTAGCAATATTTTAATTTTAATGGAAAAAAGTTTTTATACTTTTAAATTACACTTATTAGACACCCTCGTTTAAGGTGGTAGGGATGCGAATAGACAACTTTCTGAAATTTGTCGTTGCAACATTTTTTAGTTTATTAAAACTGTTAAAGTGGTACTCTAAGAAATAAAAATCAATTAAAAAAGTATTAAAAAAGGATCCTCAGAAAACTGAAAAAATATCATATGAACCTGGAGGATTTTAATTTATTATATTTACTCCAGAAATTATAAATACTTTTATGCTTTTTGTGTAATTTTTATTTTTTTTATCGCAAAATCTGGTAAAAAAACTACTATCTAAAAATCTTGACTTAGAAAAGCAATTGAAGTTCTTAGAAGATAATCAAGCTCAAATTATTAGCAAAAATAATCAAATTAACAGCAAACCACTTTTTAGCTTGTTTCATAACAAATCTCTTGAACCAGAAGAAACAAGAATACTAACCGCGATTTCAGCTGAAAATAAAGAAAAATCTAGAAGAGAATACAATTTGATTCTACACGGTCTTGATGAATTAAATAAATCAACTGAAGAAAATATACAACATGAAAACGAGCAAATAAAAAAGATCTTTAATTACCTGAAGGTCGACGAATCATTTATTAAACGACACCACCGCCTAAAATCAAAAACCGACAAACCTAGTATTGTAATAGTAGAATTAAATAATAAAGAAAAAGTTGCAGACATTTTAAAGTCATCAAGCAATTTGAAATATAATGTCGAATATAAAAATAAAGTATATATAAATCAGGATTTAACATTTGCACAACGTGAAAGCAGAAAATTGCTTCTAAAAGAAAGAGATCGTTTAAATAATGCTGATAATGACCAGCCCTTTCGGTATATTGTCAAAAATGAGTCAATTGTCAAAGTCAAGAAAAGTGAAAAAACTAAAAATTAATTCATTATCTAGTGTAAATAAAAACAAATCTGACATTATTTTTCCATTCAATAAAAAGTCTAACTATCTTAAGTTTTTGTATACAAATTCTACGTCTTTAGTAAATAAAATAACAGAGTTTGAAACAAAAATTATGATCGACTCACCAGATATCATACTTATTTCTGAAACATGGTTCAAAAATGACTTAATTATCAATATTAGCAACTACAACTGCTTTTACAATAATAGAACAAAAAAACAAGGTGGAGGTGTTGCAATTTTTACAAAATATGATATAATTGCTTATGAAGTATCAGTTTCACCTTTATATAAAGAAGTTGAACAAATATGGTGTAGCATTGTACTTCATAAAACAAAAATATTAATTGGATGTATATACAGACCACCAAACAGTACTGACCTAATAAATAATGCAATTAATGAATTAATAAAAACTGCAAAAAAGGAAGTAATGAATGGAAAATACTCAAATGTAATAATTGTTGATGATTTTAATTACCCAAATATTGTTTGGAATGAAGACGGAACTATCGAGCTAAAGCAAAACTGCCAAACAAGCAGAGCATTTATTAATAACTTGCAAAACAATTATTTACATCAAGTAGTTAACAAGCCAACTTTTCAAATGGCTGTTGATAAACTAGCAAATATATTAGATTTAATAATATGTGACGATCTAGATTTAATAATTAACATTGAATATGATGCTCCACTTGGTCAAATTACTAAAAGCCATTACATATTAAAATGGGAAATTAACATAATCAATTCATATGAGAAAAAATTCAACAATAAGAGATTTAATTTTCGAAACGGAAAGTACAAAGAAATGAATCTCATGTTTTATAAAGTAAATTGGGTTGAAATCTTTGACAAAATGAATACAAATCAATGTTATGAATACTTTTTAAAAATTTATGAAAAAGCTTGCAAACAATATATTCCTCGCCACTTCAAACCCACTAGTTCTATCCAAAATCCATGCATTAATAAAAAAATCAAGAATCTAGTTAGAAAAAAACGTAGTTTATGGTGCAGAGTTCGTGCTACAAACTTCAAGAACACAAACTTAAATAATGAATACAAACTTATCAACAAAACAATTAAAAAACAAATTAAAAAATCTACTTTTGATTATGAAATAAACTTAGCAAAAGATGTAAAACATAATCCAAAACCCTTCTATGCATATGCACAAAGAAAAAACCAGACACATACAAAATTGCTAGCACTTAAAACTAGTGACAACAAAATAATAACTGATAAAAAAGTAATTGCTAATCTACTAAATTGTAGTTTCCAATCAGTATTTGTCAAAGAAAATCAAGATTTACCATATTTCAGCAATAAAACTAGTCATTTATTTGAATGTGACTGGAACCAAGAACTAAAAGAAGATATTATATTTAATTATTTATTAGAACTTAATGAAAACAAGTCACTTGGTTGTGATAACATCAGTCCCTATGTGCTAAAGCATTGTGCAGAAGGATTATCCAAACCTTTGTCTTTAATATTCAAGAAATCGATACATTCAGGAGAGCTGCCAGAATTATGGAAATCTGCAAACATTACACCACTTTTTAAAAAAGGAGACAAGAAAGATCCACTCAACTACAGACCTATCTCCTTAACATCGATACCAAGTAAGATAATAGAGAAAATAATTAGAAAAAAACTGATAATTTATATAACAGAAAACAATCTGTTAACGTCTCAACAACATGGATTTATACAAAATAAAGGGTGCCTAACAAACCTATTAGAAACTTTTGATATTATTACAACTGAAATTGAAAATGGTTATTCAGTTGATATATTGTTCCTAGATTTTGCAAAGGCGTTCGATAAGGTGCCCCACTATCGACTTATACATAAAATTTCTAACTATGGAATTAAAGGCAATATTTTAAATTGGATTGATTCTTTTTTAAAAAACAAAAAACAAAGAGTGGTAATGGGTGAAGTTGTATCAGATTGGTGCGAGGTTTATAGTGGTGTACCACAGGGCTCTGTATTGGGTCCTCTTCTTTTTCTGTTATATATCAATGATCTTCCCCAATGTATCTCTTCAATCGCAAAATTATACGCTAATGATACTAAAATCATATCTGTTATAAAAGAACATAATGATCTAACTAATATGCAAAATGACATTGATTTGTTAACTGAATGGTCAAATGTATGGTAAATGGACTTTAACATAAATAAATGCAGTGTTATGCACATTGGAAGAAAAAATATTAACTATAACTACACTATAAAGCACAACAATCAAAGTTTTCTTCTAAAAACAACAACAAAAGAACTAGACTTGAGTGTAATAGTTTCATCCAATATGAAATGGAATCATCATGTTCAAATAGCTACAAGTAAAGCACAAAGAATCTTATGTTTAATAAGAAAAAGCTTTACTTATCTTAACACTGAAATGGTAAGGCAACTATACACATCGTTGGTTAGACCACACTTGGAATTCGCAGCTCCAGTGTGGAGTCCAAGTAATAAAAACAATATCAATGACCTAGAAAAAATTCAAAGACGAGCAACAAAGCTAGCCCCTGAACTAAAACATCTAAGTTATACCGAAAGATTGACAAAGTTGGGCCTCACAACTCTGGAAACAAGACGTATAAGAGGAGATCTCATTGCTTTCTTTAAATTAACAACTGGGATTGATAAGATATTATGGTATAAAGAGCCTAATAAAGCTTCTTCCCAGAGACTTCGAGGTCATCCAATGAAATTTGAAAGAGAACTTGCAAAACCAACACCGAGACATAATTTTTTTACGAACAGAGTGATACCTCATTGGAATGCTTTACCTGAAAAAGTGGTTTCTGCAATGACAGTAAATTCTTTTAAAGCTAGACTAGATAAATATTTGTTAACGGCTGTTAAAGTATAAATTTTAAACTTTATACTCCGCGACAATCGTCGTTACAGCAGTTTGTATTACTATTACTATTACTAAATCTCAAAATTCACTAGTTTTTAAACTTTTTCACTAGTTTTGTTATATTAGTGTTGTTTAGCTCGCTTACTTTTTAGTGTTTTATACATAATTTCTAAAATTTTCATTTATTTTCTCTCAAATGAATTATATTAATATGATTAAAAAATGTTCCAAATTTCATGCTAAAATGACTAGTAGATTTTGAGTAATTACTTCACAAAAAATCAATTATTTTTTGGGGGTAATCGAGGCAAAAATTTTCAAGTTTGATAGCATTTTTGAAAATTATTTTAAATTATGCATTTATGTTGTAAAATTGCGCTCTAGTTCTAATCAGATTTTAATATATTTCTTGGGGTACATATACACATAATATACGTTAAGAGAAAAAGTTTGCATAAATATTTTTTATTTTTTTCTTTCAAATGATGTTTTTGAAACATTATATCTTGATAAAACAAAGGATAAATTGAAAATCCTCTTGCACATATATATTATATATATTGCACATATGTATATTATGATATTATACTCCAGAGGACTTTTAGGATTTGCATAAATTATTTTACCCTAAGAGTAATTAAAGTATTACCCTAAGAGTAATTAAAGTATTATTAAAAATGCTACTTTTTTTCAACAAATGTAGATACAAATTTGCACCTAAATTAAATTTTTATAAAATATTAAGTGTTTTATATAAAATCCAAGGTTCATCTGGAATATTAGATTATATCATACATATTCAAAGTTTCAAGTCAAATGTTCAATTCTCAAGTTATCATGTTTTGAGTTACAGCATGTATGCAAAAACTTAAAAACAGAGAAAAATGCAAAACAAAAATAAAATGTTTAAAAAATAAGTTGTTTCCTCAGTAAGAATCAGTTTGATATGAATCTCCTGATTCTTTTTCACTCATCTTATCAAAAAATTATTTTTTTCTTGCTCGCATTCTTTTTTTACACTTTTTCTCTCCGTTCGTGAACTTTTTATCCATTCGCTTAATATGGGAATTATCTAACTTTGTTCCAACAGCCTTTAAAACTAGCTCTTTTAACCCAAAGTGTTTTCAATCCTTCAGTATTCCTTTCTACCATTATTTCTATCATTAAAATGAATAATAGCTGATTGTATACCAATTTTTATAATTTCACTGCCTACAAATACAGTTTTTGGTAAATTTTTGTAAGTATAAAATTTTCAAAAGTGCTGTTACAACTTAGCAGTTTATTTATCTGTCTGAGTTATGTTTGTGACTTCAAAAAAAAGTTATTCAAACTTCATAGCAGATACAACTTAGTAAATATTCAGAGTAAAATAAGGTATATATTATGAGAGGAAAATAAAGAACAAACATCTGTTTATGGTAACTAGGGACGTTGCTATGGACTCTGATGCTATCTAAGAGTGTTTTAAGGTATAAATATGGACCAAGAAATATTTTTTATTATTTTCAATGCTAGTTGTATGTAAATAGACATAACAAAGGGTGAAATTCCACCATAAAAAAATTCACAAAAATTTTTTTTCGATCATTATTTGCATCCCTACCTTCTTAACATTATAAACATTAAAAGCTTTGCTATAAATTATTTTAATTGTTGTTTTGTTAAATTTCAACAATAGTTACTATTGTTATTAAAATTATTTTGTTTATACATAACCTGTTTAACACTTTTAAAACCAAATCGTTTTTCAGATTAACACTATATCTCATTCAAAATTTTCAGCCTCAATATGATAGCAATAACGGTGGTTACTAAAGTAAGGTAGTTGCTTCATGTCTTTTGCTTGCCATTTACCCTCATACGCTTTGCCTTTTTAAATAACACAAATGTTTCCGATTGGGCAACACTTCGATATAGCAGACGGATTGTCAGTTTTTTTGACAAAATTAATGTTATGGGCCTTATAGCAGTCGGCCACAAGTTTGGAGTAATGTAATATGATCAGGTCCGACCAAACTTCATATTTACCATTGGCATAATGAGCGTTGATGAACGACATTAATCTTCCTAAATACAATCTATTTTGTACATGGCTTTTTTGACTAAAAGGCCGTTGGGGACTAAAAATTGCTTGGAAATACCTTAGACAGAAGCAACCAGTCAGACGAGCAACTTGGTTACGAACTTGCACTTTTTTCAATATTTAATGCTCATTGGCATCTTGTCTTTGTCACTAGAGTAGTAGGTGCTGTTTCTGTTAATTGTTAAGCGCGACAGTGAAAAGTAAAACTCGTAGTCAAGAATGATAGATTTTTCTTGAAAATCGCGATAAAGACGATCAATGCCGGTTTTGATTCGCTCTTTCTGGCTCTCTTGTCGATTAATTATACCCTGTTTTGCATAAGTTTTGATGGCAAGAATTTTAATGATATGTGAGTCGACTGGCTTGCCTTATCGAAACCACATTATAAACCACGTGTGATGATTACTGCATCACACATGGTTTATAGACGCTTGATCACTTCGGTGGTCATAATTTTGACCACACAACCACTATCTTGCACTCTTTTGTTTCCAAAATCATTATCAGCAGGTTTAATGTATTAGATAGTACTTCGTGGAATTTTTTCAGCATTAAAGTGATCTACTGTGAACTACTTACATTACAATTTATTATTCAAATAGAACTCGTAAATCCGTTTTCATATCTCTTCTTGCTTAGACATCATTTATTTTTCATTTCATGTCAAATACCATTTTACAAATTTTGTAAAACTGTTTTTGACATGACTACTTATTTTCATTGATGTTAATTAGTGTAACTTTTTTTCAAGTAAGACTTTTTAGTGTTTTTTAATCTTTAAATAAAATACGCTAGGCAAGTAGGTGATCTAATTTGCTCATTATTACTATGCTAAACAATTTTTGTTCATACTTTAAGAACATTTAATGTTGTTAAAGTATGAACAAAAATTGATTAGCATAGTAATAATGAGCAAACTAGATCACCGACTTACCTAGCGTATTTTATTTTGCTCAGAAATGATTCAGAATGTTGACTCTCAGGGGACTGGGACAAAAGTTCGAGAGTTCGAAATGTCGAGAGGAATTCTGCTCAAACGAGTGCAAAAAGGACCGTAAATAAAGTTTGAGATACACAAAAGTTCTAAATATCGAGAGTCAACAGTGTTATTAACGCAATTTTATACGCATTAGTTTACTTTTTTGCGACTAAAAAAATTTCCGACAATTAAATTTCGGTTATTCATAATTAATGGTGTCCTTCGGGTTTAACTTTTTTCGGGTTTAACTTTTTTTTAAGGACTTCTTGGGGCACCTAAAATCAGCATAAAAAAAATAATAATAACCTCGGTCATAATGCAGAAACTTAAAAAAGACCTTATTATCTATTTTAAGTTTCCGCGTTTTTTATTTAAATTTTTTATCTTTTTTATATACTTACATAAGATTTGCAAGAAGAAAAAAAAATTAGTAAAAATATCGTTTCATTTTTGGCCAAATAGGACAAACAATAGCGACATTTACTTTAGACATACATATTAAACATGCTTTATACAAACTTTATTGAACAGTTTGGCTAAAATGTTTTGACACCCGTAACCACCTATTAACCAGAAATTTATATGGTATTTTGATATTTCATCTTTCATTAACACAATCGAAACTTTTCGTCTTTATATTTCAATCTTTGTCTAAAACCATGTTTTGGAAGGTTATTACAGTGGTCATCCCACTGATCTCTATAATAACTGGATAGCGCATCTCTACTATCAAAATTGACGCCAAAATTGCCATATTGGAAAGCCCCAGAACGCTGAACGGAATTCGTAAATACAGAGATTGCGCTCGAAGATTCGTTATTGCTTTACTTTCTACATCGTTTATATTTACTAAATTATAGTTGCATATTTCGATCATATTGTAATTTTAAAAATGTTTGAAAGTTTGAAAATTAACAAAGTAAAAAAAAAAAACACGAAAAGAATTAGAGTTGAATGGAAATAAAGAATATAGGAGAATAGACTGATTAATAATTTGTATTTGTTTTGTATAAATTTGTTACCTTTATTAATCTTCTTATCTTTAAAATGAAGCTATTTTTCTGAAAGTCAAAATTAATATTTACTCTGGTTACTTTAGAATGTTCATTGTTACCACTTGATGCAATCTTACTTTATAATAGCAGTGAGAAAGTAACTTTACAAGTATAAAATATGAAAAAAAATTATTGCCTCAAAGATTTTTTAAATGGTTTTCATAGTTTTTAA